AAGGCTATTTAGGATCAAAGCTGATCTCTAAATAAAAAAGAATAAATCTTCTGGAGGATAAATTACCCACAAACAGCAGCCATAGGCTATTTCAGGGACAAAAGCTATTAAAACAATACAACCAGACTAGCTTCCTTGATTTGAATATCAACTGCTATTCAAGACTGAGATGGTGTACAAATTTCACAAATAAAATGCAGTACAAAAAAGTCAAAGTTCATGCCATAGGTCTGGAAATGTCTGTTCATTGTAATTGTACAAGGAACCTACCAAGCCAATCATTTCAGTTCTTTTCTAATAAAATAAAATAAAATGGGATATTGTGGAATTCTTCATTGGCTATATCCTATTACACTGCAGTCCAAAATGCTATAGGGTCTTGGCTTAGAATCTTGGCTTTGATCAAAGAGACATGATTTTAAATCATATAAAATGCATTAGCAGATCTTAGGCTCAGAATATTTCATTCTGATCTGCCTCAACTAAATTTTATGAAAATGAAAAGCAAAAGCAAAAATAGACTCATTGATGTCAATCACAGGTGCTTGGAAGAAAGCGCATGGTGGTTAACGCAGTTAAATAAACTATATTAGAATTTTTGTTAATGTAGTTTTATACACAACCCTGTAATGATGAGTTTTAAAATGAAAGCATAAAAGTGCTCATGAGAACTCAAATGTCACAATAAAGGACCCAAGTGCAACCTATTGTTGCTATAGAGAATGGCAACACAACTATACTTTTTTTTTCTAATTTTGGCTTAATAGTCTATATTTATTAGACTTCCTTCTTCTTGTGACTAATATTTCCTCTCTGTGGTTTTCCAATAGAAAAGCTGAATTTGCACAAGCAGAAAAAGAATCATTCCACAGAATAAGCTAACTTTAATTTTCTATAACATATATTTCTTGAATTTTATTTTAAACTTTTTTAAAAAGATAATTCTGTATCTGTTAATAATAGGAGTCAATGTATACTTCATCAAAGATGCACAACAGCATCAAATAACTTTGAATCTCCCTTGACTCTTGAAGTGGTGGTGGTGGGGAGGAAGAGGAAGAGGAGTAGAATCCATATTTCAGAGGGCCACTCAGCAAGAATCTACAAGCAACTGGTTCCTTCTAGATATTTTCAATTACACCTTCTATTACTTCTGATTATATTAGCTGAAGCTAATGGAACTGAAATCTAAAATGCTGGGTGGGCACTAGATTACTTATCCCTGTATTATAGGAATCTACCCTATTCATTTCAAAGCAATTTCAAACTATCTTTTGAAATGAAGGCACTATGGTTCCATGTTAAGATTCTTGTCTGCTGGTCTCCCTTTCAGATTTCCTAAGCCCCAGATACAATTGTATCTCACCAAAATTTCTTATTAAGCTTTCTGACACATGGGCAGCTCTTCTTTCTTCTTAATTTACTTCCAAAACAGAAAATATTCCCAAGGACTAGAAGAAGGTGATTGCTATGCTTATTCACAAGACAGTAAGGGGATTCATCTAATCTATTAGCCTTTTGAGTATAATAGGAAAATTTTATGTTAGATATCTGAACCAGAATTGGCACAAATGGCTGCATGAAGGATTTCAAATGGGGAACTTGCTGCTAGATAATATTTTTGTGTTGTACCACCTGAAAGTGAAATACTGTACATCTAGACAATTCAGTCTCCTTTATATAGATCTTAGATCAACATTTATTTATTCATGAGCTACCTGATCTCACAATTATTCTGGCTAGCTTACATTAAAAATAAGAAGAAAAAGAAAACAAAATCCCAAGCGTCTGGACAAACATAGTCCCTCTAACAAAATGGCCCCCTAACACTCTGACCCAAGGATTGGAAGAACAGCCAAGCTTTTAAAGACTTACAGAACACCATCAGAGGAGAAGCTATACAGATCCCATGTAGGGTGGGGGAAAATATGCATTTTTAATTATATTATGGGTAAAACTACAAAATGCTAATATTGATATACAGCTGATATTTTTAACTCAAAAGTTGTATATAAATATTTAATAGATGAAAATGCAAATAATTTTCAAAATCCAGTAATGAAAGTCAGAGCACAGCACAAAAACAGTATTAAGATTAAATGTAACTAATTATACAAAGTATTGCAACTTAGAATTGATAATGAAAATGCAGAAGTGGTATATTTTAGGAACAACTATAAACACTAAAGGGAATGGTAGTCAAGAAACATGCCATAAACTAGCACGTAGTAGAGTAACCATGAAGGCCTTGGAAAAGATGTGTCTAAATCCACCCTCTTTGTTTATAAATGCTTTTTGTTTATTTCCTTCAAGGTCATCTCCCAGGTTCTCTACAGCAGTGGTTCTCAACCTGTGGGTCGGGACCCCATTTGGGGTCGAATGACCATTTCACGGGGGTCACCAAACAAGGCTGTCCGCCATTTTTTCCCCCTTTTCTTTGGCCACGCCCCTGGCACCCGGTGATGTATAAGTGGTTGGGGGTCACCACAACATGGGGAACTGTATTATGGGGTCGCGGCATTAGAAAGGTTGAGAACCACTGCTCTACAGGAACCCTGATCTGCAAAGAGTTAGATTCAGAGTTCCCCTTATCCATTACAGCTTTCCTTGCTCCATTCCCAAATACTTTTTTAACATTTCACATATGAGACTCTTTGTCTTGGCCCCAACTGGCAAATCAGAGCAGTTATAGCAGTATCCCCTATGAAAATTCCACCTGTATATGATAGAAGTCGAATTGCTTTTACAAGTACTTGTAGAATGCCCTCTATATAATAAATGAAGGGCAGAATCGTAACACCAATTGTAAAAAAATCTTAATTGCTCCTCTGAGCAGGATATTGTCATTTTTCTCCTTGGCAATCAAACTTCAACTATTTCCAATAAGGTTGCTAAATTTTTAATAATTGCTATGTCTTGCATAAATAATCGTGCTTTCCCTACTCTGTTAATTGCTTTAGGTTTTTCTGTACAAGTTTTATTTTATTTTTTAATGTTACATTGTTGTAATATATTTGGTATCTTGTAATATCATCCTCTTTTAAATGCATGTCAAACAAACAAACAAACAAAAAATGATACGCCAGGGACATTACAATACTCAAAACTCCATTTTCTACCACTGCTAGATCAGAACACCTACACTCTTTTTGCATTAACAGAGCAGAAATCTCCAATACTTTGTTTGGATTCAGAAGAGCATTAAAAACTATTATGCAGCTATGATTTCTGTAGGTCCAACAATGAAGGCATGACTATTATCCCAGTCCTTGGGATAAATTGATAGTTAGCTTTTTTCTCTCTCTCTCTCTTTATATATCTTGGAAGGGGATTCTATTCTATAGGATCCAGGAAAGTCACTACAAAATATATCAGAGAAGCATCGAAATCTTTGATGGCAATCAGGACTTTTTTTTTAACCCGGGAAAGGGAATTTGTATCTTCAGATTTTAAATCTTTTGAGGCCCAAATCTTGATTCAAGATTTTTATTTCGGGGGCTGATAGTGCTATTCTTTAACAAAAGTCTCTTTCAAACTAAATTTTCAGGTTCACCCTCTCTGCTTCGAAATGCAGCTTTCAGGCTTGAGGTAGCATAGAGTAAGGAAGATGTCCTTAATGGAGATATGCAAGCTCTGTTGCCAAGAGAATAAGGGTAAAACATATTTAAAGTCCAAAATGGCCAAGCAACATTCAAAAGCATCTCAGACATCTCTCTAATTCGCTGAACTACAAGAAGAAAGAAGAAGTACACTACAATCAGACTTGAAAGATGCGATTATTATAGCCAATCTCAATAAAAGTAGTTTTGGCTTACTGTAGAGTTGATTTCCTGGTCTGGCCTACCTAGTGAAGCTGACAAGCAGGGATGTCTGCAATTGAATATAGAGCTTGGAGGATAGTACTGCTATATTGGCTGAAACTATTTTTTCTTCATTACCACTGGCTCTAGTAGCTCTAGCACAGGGGTGTCAAACTGCCGACACGCAGGCCGGATGCATCATGTGGAAACTGCGCCCACCCCATTACCGGCAATTGCAAAACAGTCATGATACATTGTGCGACGTCACATGATGTCGCGAATTTGACATGTCTGCTCTAGCAGATGATAATTCCACTATGGGCTACATCAGCAGAAAACAAAATATTTATATTATATTGATTAAAGATAATTTTATGTCTTTTTGCTGGCTCTGATCAGGCTAAAGTATTATTTGTCAACAGATGGAGAACATAGAATATCAATCTGAAATTAGATTCTTAACAGAGAGTTTTAAAATACTCATTACTAGGAATACATTAAAGTTATTGGTTCAGGAACGAATCATGAACTATTTACTAAATTTAACCCTGTTTCTGACCTGAATCTTTTCTTAGGGGTAGATCAAAATTTCAGTTGTGCAACAGAGCTACATTGCTTGAATTACTGCAAACAGAATCAACAATTCTCCTTGGCCCTCTCAACCACCAGTGACTGCTATTCCTTCTCTGGCAAAACACATTTCATCTCAAAAAAGAATTACACTTTTCTTAATACAGCCATAGGATTAGATTATTACCCCACAATTTTATGAAGGGAAATTATGTTCTCGGCATTATCTGAAAAATTAACAGGGCTCTCATTTTCATTACAGTTCTATTTTAGCTCCAAATTGGTAAGTTTCCTAACATGACAATACTTTTACATAAAGTGGAATTGCAGCAAAATAATACCTTGCATTTCTATACTAGTTCCAGAAGAGTCTTTTCAAGAAAATATTCCAGATGCACAAGGGACTACTATGCTTTATGGAATGAACTATCTATTTTCCTCCTGTTCACTATAAATGCAATAAGGTTTCTCAGTATGATATCAATAGGCTTATTGATTTTCTTTTGAGATGATCTTTAGTGTTCCCCAGTAACAGATGAGCAAATATCCAGTAAATAAAAAAGGAATAAGATTTTCCATACACATGTATGTACACAAACGTAGACACAAAGAGTACATATATACACTCACCTGATATGTAAATTGCACTTCATTTGTGGATGTGCCATATTGTCCATTTATATTAACTTGAATTTCACCAGTTTTTTCCATTGACCCTTGCCCAACTTCACATACAATTCTGTTTATAAAAACACAAAATGACATATAAAGGTTTAACAGTGTGCATATTACCAGCTAGTCCATTCTTGAACTACATGCCTACAAGAACACACAGAGATTTAGATCAAAAGCCTAAAACCAAGATATATAAAAAAAATATGTGTTTATAGGGTCTCATTATCCTAGGACCTTTATGATAAAAAAGCAATTAATTATATCATTTATTTGAACAAGAGAAAATTTTCAATTTTTGTGAAAGTGTAGAAATCTGGAAATATCAGATGATTTGTAGCCCAAGATTATAAAAAAGATGACTGTTATTGTATATCTTTTAATTATACTTTTAAGCAGCAGCAAAATAATAATTAAAACAACTCTCAAAATATATTAACAGTTTTTATATATGTCGAATTCTCTATTACATTTATTATATTTAAAGTTATTTTATTTTACATTTATGTAGTTACTGGTATGTAGACTTTATTTTTACTTCTTGGGTAGTCACTTTTGTCAAAGTTGTCAGAAATTACTTACTTGGTAGAAACAGAGTAGAATTCTTTTCTAAATTGACATTCAGTGTTGGCTACCATTATTTCTTTGACATCTTCAGCCTTTATGCCCAAGTTAGACCCTCTTATTGTCAACAAAATTCCACCACTTAGAGGTCCATTCTTTGGTTCAATCTAAATATACAGAAAATATTATTGTTACCTATATTATATCCTGTAAAATAATAACTAGGCGGTTAACAAACATATATGAAATGCCATGGTAGCAGCCGAATTAGCTTGAAAAAACAGAAATAGATCCAGGGTACTTGAATCCCCAAAACATTAATATATTGATCATAGCAAATAAAGAGGACATATAAGCTCTGCAATTTTAACTTCAGAACTTCCAGAAAGGTGGTCCCTAAGCTTAACATTATAGTTTTTTAAAAAAGCCATTGACTTTGGCACTGTTGATATATTTTGATTGTAAACCATATGAATCCTTCTCCATTAGCAAATCAGCAAATGATTATTGAGGTGCTATAACATAAGGACAGACAACATTTTGTCTTCTAAATGTTATTTAATAATTTGTTTTTATTTATTTATTAAATGTATATGCTACCCATCTCTCTGACAAGCGATTCTTGTTCACTTCAAGCTTACACAAACCAAAACAGCATTACTGAGGAATGATGAAATCTGCAATTCAGCAGCTTCTGAAAACAATAGGATTTGTCCATTCTGCTCTAACATCCTCTAAGGTACTGCAGAAGGCCTTTTATGAGCTATTCTCCTTCCTGAAACATATGCTCAAACTTCTTGCTATTTATCACTTTGCATTTTGATGGTAAGAAAATACAGATAACGTTGGGAAAATACAGAGATTATATATTATGGAACTTGACCTACTTTGCTAACTGCTCCCAGCACTGCATTGCAAATTAATTTCAATATCATGAAATTATGTGAAATTCATATACCTGAGTAATGACTGGAGCAGGGCAGGTAGTTGTAGAAGATGAGCAACGTTTTGTGAAAACACAACTCTCCCTGGTTTCACACCAGACACACTGGTACTGAGGATCAGCCGCAAGACACAAGCTGCAGTCATCCCGACCATAAGAGCAGCTATATAAAGTCACTACAAAGATTGCAAATAAGTAATGTGCATTTCCTTAGTATCAATTTCTAGTTCACAATTCAGAACCACAAAAACAACTTGTAATGGAAGCATGGATCAGGATAAGAGGCAAAGCAAAGCAATGAGGTGAAACATAATGCTGCTCCAATGGTCTTTTTTATTTGTTTAGTTTCTTTTTAAATTTAGTGGACTTACTATGCTTAGCCATTTAAGACTGGGTAAGAATGACTCTTGAGTGATATAGGGAAGGGACAAAATAAAATTTATTGTTATTGTTCTACTTCTCATGTAGTTGATTCCTGTCATTCAGTAATCTACCAATCGTTTGCTTTATATGCTTTTTTTTGTCAGATTGACACATTATATACTATGGAGATGGCTGTATCACTTTTGTATTTATCAGTTCTCAAACATTTTAGTTTGGAAGCTGTGGCATGTTAGAGCTAGACCACACAGGGGTCAGGTCCAGGTTCCCTCCAACAACTTGTGAAAATGGCAGGCCAGTAGAGGTAAAGAGGAGAAAAAAAGCAAGTTTTGTCAAGAAACACCACTGCAAAAAACAGTACAATGAATGAGCGAAGATGGAACAAGAGGTCTGAAAACTACTTGTTTGGAGCAAATAAGGAATAAATATGAAGCAATTTATTTTTGCAAAATATAGTTTCTGAAAAAGAAATCTGAAAGTGAACGATAACACAGATGTGACAAAACACTATCAGATGGGATATTGAAAACACATAAATCCAAAACTCTTATTATCAAATATAGTGGTTTTGATTTAGATTTTTCCTCAAATAAAATATATTTTCTTTCATTTTCTTTATATTGACATTCCCTTCTATAGAGTCTTCCTATTATGAACACAATCCCTTCTTTTTATTAACACTACATATTTTTTGCCAAAACCTCAGACAATCCCTAACAATAAAATTAAAACTTTCCAAAATTTCTTTAATGAGTATGCTATAAACCTAAAGTCAGAATTCAAACAGTGTATGAGAACTTTCACTCAATATTTTAATATACCAAGATAGTTCAATCTATATCTCCACCATTTTACACTTCAATTTAAAGTCAAGGGAATGCAAATAGTTCTCTGGCATGCTTTGAGGTTGACAGATAAGGTCAGAGACCATGGGTACGGGAGTACTGCAGAGCACTGAAATCCCGATAAAAATGCCCTGCCACTTTTGGTTATCATGATCATGAATCATGGAGAAAGTCAGAATCTCTCTTAAGCCTATAGACCCCTTAGGTATTTGTAGATGGATAAAGTTAACTGGAGCTGAATTTACAGAAGTAAAGAATCTTGCAATAATACAATATTGTTGTGGAAAAAAATAGGAGGAAGGAGAAGTATTAGGTATTTTCACTTATAAAGTTACTTATAAAGTAATAAAGGTGGATACAAATCTAATAAGTAAATTCCAGATATAAAAAAGGGCATTGTCCTCTAATATCAGGATAGTTAGTAAATCCAGGATGTTAAATGGTTATCTGAATGCTGGACGTGTGTGAAAATAATCTGAAAGAGGTTTTTCCACACAGTGAACACATAATCTCTTAAAAATAGCTGCATCTTTTTTTAGGCTTCTGCATACACCTGAAAAAAACAACAATCACTAGCTGCTTCGATCAGTGACATTAAAGATGTATTTAATATACAAGTAATAAGGAAGGAGGTAATGACAAACCACTTCCAAAAAAAATCTTGCCAAGAAAATTTCAAAGACACAAAGCCAATAAAACTTTAATGAGATGAAATATGTTCAGAATCTAAAAAAAAATATACATCTGCTTAAAGGAGGAGCTTTGTGCAAGCTTCTTAATGCTTTCAAATCTCATTTAAAGCATGCACAGTCTAAGGATTGGAGCTGAGAATTAGTTCAGGAAAGTAAGAGCAACAAATAATATCAGTGTGATTTAGAATTCGGTCACTTTTTAAAATTGAGTGCTCAAACATTGTTCATCAATGGACATCAAACTGAAATATACAATTGATTATCATTATCAAATTTCTTATTTTTCTTATATTATTTTATTTAACAAATTTATATCTAGCTTCTCAGCTCAACAAGGAATATGTTGTATTCCCTCCTCCATTTTTTCAGAATTAGGATTTTCCTAATGTTAGTCCAACATGCCTTAGATTATATGATGGGCAGAAGAGAAGGCTTGCAAGTTACATAGGAATCAGAGAATTCTTGACAGTCTTCCCTAAATTATTACAATTTGGTAGTTCCTTTTTGTTAGTGCTTTCTTAAAAAGCATAGTTTTCATAAACATTCATAAAAGTTTATCCCCTTTCATAAAATTTGTTAATACGACAATCAGACACTTTGATTTTTCTTCCTGACATCATCACTACCACCACCACCACCACCATCATTGTAACAACAACAACAACAACAACAACAACAACAATAGAGTTGGAAGGGACCTTGGAGGTCTTCTAGTCCAACACCCTGTTCAGGCAGGAAACCCTACACCATTTCATACAAATGGCTGTCCAGTCTCTTCTTAAAAACTTCTAGTTTTGTAGCATTTACAACTTCTGGAGTGGGTTGTTCCACTGATTAATTGTTCTAACTGTCAGGAAGTTTCTCCTTAGTTCTAGGTTGCTTCTCTCCTTGAATTCATCCTACTGGGCATGCCCACCAGACAGAATATTTAAGTTTTCATAGGAAAATGTTCTCTTGGTAGAAACAACTGTAGCATCTGGTTTGCATATTGTGACATTTAGAATCTAGGTATTTATAATCCTGGCTTGTTTTCTTAACCATGATCTCATCCTTCCCTTGATCAGAAATTTTCAGCTTGACTTTGAACTGCTTGACTTGGAAATTCACACCTTGCTCATCTAGGTCTCAGCTAGGATTTGCAGAAGCAAGTCTTTCCCTTAACACTCTGTGCTAGTGGAGGGGTGGAGGAGGGGGAGACATGAAAAGGCCAGCAGAGCTGGGGCCATCCTAATCTAGGGAGAATTTTCTAGAGGGCAGGGATTATGATAGAAAAAGAATATCTCCAAGTATCTGCCAGCCAACATTCCTTAGCTGATGGAATAAATCAGAATGACTTGGTAGATATAGCAGGTAAGCTTCTGGAGCGGGTTGTTCCACTGGTTAATTGTTCTAACTGTCAGGAAGTTTCTCCTTAGTTCTAGGTTGCTTTTCTCTTTGATTAGTTTCCATCCGTTGCTTCTTGTCCTGCCTTCATGTGCTTTGGAGAGTAGCCTGACTCCCTCTTCTTTGTGGCAGCCCCTGAGATATTGGAACACTGCTATTATGTCACCCCTCGTCCTTCTCTTCATTAAACTAGACCACAGGTCGGCAACCTGCGGCTCCGGAGCCGCATGCGGCTCTTTGAGCCTTCCCCTGCGGCTCCCAGCCTCCTCTGCCTTTTCAGACAGAGACAGAGACAGAGAGAGGAATTGCGCTTCCCTGCTTCTCTCTCTCTCTCTCTGTGTGTGTGTTTGTGTTTGTGTGTGTGTGTGTGTAAAAAAAAGAGAGTGCACTCACAGTGTTCTCCGAGGAGCTGAAAAGCTTTCTGGGTGGAGCTCCTCCCTTTGCTGCGTCTCTGAAGGAAGCAGGAAGCAGGAAGGGCAGGAGAGAGCTAGCTAGCCCAGCTAGGCTGACTCAGGAATTCTGGGAGTTGAAGTCCATGAGTCATAAAAGAGACGAGGTTGACTACCCCTGATCTTGTTGGACAACAGCCTGAAGCTTGTCAGGTGAGCAGCAGATAGGAGAGGGGGGGGAGAAAGAGAGAGAGGGAGAGAGAGAGAGAGGAAAGAGAGAGAGAGAAAGAAAGAGAGCGGGGGAAGAGGAGTGGCAGACCAAGGGCAGATAGAGAGGGAGGGAGGGAGAGAGAGAGAGAGAGAGAGAGAGAGAGAGACCCTTTAGACATCTAAAATGAAGATAACACTGCATATATACTTTTTTTACCTGTGTGTGTATGTAATTTTATTCTCTTAAAGCATTATCTCGGTGATCATTGTTTTAATAGTATGGATATTCCCAAGAGTCATATTTTTACTTTTATTTTTAATGTGTGTGTGTGTGTGTGTATACACATACACACACACACATACACATACACACACACACACCTATAATAAAGGTAAAAAAGGATATATGCAGTGTTATCTTCATTTTAGATATCAAAATGGTTTTGCGGCTCCCAGTGTTTTGTTTTTGGTGGGAAATGGGTCCAAGTGGCTCTTTAAGTGTTTTGGGTTGCCTACCCCTGAACTAGACATACCCAGTTCCAGCAACCGTTCTTTATATGTTTTAGTCTCCAGTTCCCTAATCATCTTTGTTGCTCTTTTCTGTACTCTTTCTAGAGTCTTAACATCTTTTTTACATTGTGGCAACCAAAACTGGATGCAGTATTCCAAGTGTGGCCTTACCAAGGCATTGTAAAGTGGTATTAACACTTCACGTGATCTTGATTCTATCCCTCTGTTAATGCAGCCTAGCACTGTGTTGGCTTTTTTGGCAGCTGCAATACACTGTTGGATCATATTTAAGTGATTGTCTACTAGGACTCCAAGATCCCTCTCACAGTTGCTACTATTGAGCAAGGTACCCACTATACTATACTGTACATTTGGTTTTTCTTGCCTAAATGTAGAATTTTACTTTTTTCAGCATTGAATTTCATTTTGTTAGATAGCGCCTAGTGTTCCAATTTGTTCAGATCCTCCTATATCTTAAGCTTACCTTCTGGAGTGTTGGCTATTTTTGCCAGCTTGGTGTCGTCTGCAAATTTGATGAGTTCCCCATCTATCCCCTCATCCAAATCGTTGATGAAGATGTTGAAGAGCACTGGGCCTAGAACAGAGCCTTGGGGTACCCCACTACACACTTCCCTCCATGTAGATGCAGTTCCATTGAGGACCACACACTGAGTATGGCCGGTCAGCCAGCTACGAATCCATCTAGTGGTGACGCTGTCTAACCCACATTTTTCTATCTTATAAAATAGTAGGTTGTGGTCTACTTATCAAATGCCAAAGTTCTGAACATTATGCTTCCTGTCCCTCGTTTATTAATTTATATAAACTGGATCCACTGGGTCACTAAAATCTATGATTAATAGTCAGATTTGACAATAAAATAATCCCTATAATATCTTAAGTTTGATTCTCAACTCCTAAGATAGATAGATGTATGTATGTATTGACTTCACTCTGATAGAGTGCTTTTAATGGAAATCTTTTTGGGGGTTTTAATTTCAGCTTCTGAATTGGATCTGTACATATAAACATTTGAAGGGAACAGTGATAAGAGTCATGACAGAGGCTGATAGAACTCCATTTCAAAAAATCTATATTTCAGAAATCTATCTGCAGGTTCTCCGTATCTAACCAACTGATCCAAAATATATTTCATCTGGGCATGCAGAAATGAGAATGACTCCTGTGTCTGCAAAAGCCAGCCTTCAAACCATCTCCAAATTAGACTTGTAATATACTGAATGTCCTCACAGCTATACATAATACAGATACAGAGCTCAAAATGTTAATACGTTTTGTTACTGATCAGCTCATTAAATGTATCAGCAGCAAGCCTGACATTAGATTCTAGCCTGCATCCATCGTTTTTAGATTCTAGCTGGGAAACCATTGATAAAACAGGACAAAGGATAAAAGGGCTATATTGAATTTAACATTGTTCAAAGTCTCCAGTGGCTATAAAAAAAGTATTAGATACCAATGTTACTCGCGCTAGTTAAAATAGGCGATTGAAAGAAAGGAACTCATTTATAGTTGGAAATACAATAATTGCTTCTCTTCTAAGTGAATAACTATTAGTCTTGGGAACTGAACAATATAAAAATATGCTTAATAAAGATAAATAAATGACCAATGTGATCAATTTAATGATGTAATTACATTCATCTACTAGGTTTAGTAATAATACACAAATACACATGAAAATGGATAATAATGATAAAAAAACCTTTCACACTTTGTTTCTCATTTCCTTTTATTCTTTCTCTAAGCTTGACAAGTTATTTCAGATAGATGGCATTCTGTTATTTCCAATTGATTTTTGAAAAGATAAAGCAGGAGCATATACAGAAACCAGAATTTCTAAAATATTCCTTTGGGATTATAACACAACATTTACTAAATTGAAAGGAACTTAACTGATAGACTTAGATGACAATAGTTTAGGAACTGAATCTTATCTTTGCAATAATTATTGGATGAATTATTTTTTTTCTGAGCATGTTCAACAAAAAGATGGCCAGTGTGCTATGTAAGGGCAGAATATTCTCTATCAGTACAGTAAGTGGTAAGCAATATTTGAATTGTCAACCTAGAACCAAGGAAAATTCCAAATAGTGAGAACAATTAACCAGTGGAACAAATTGCCTTCGGAAATTGTGGGTGCCTCAACACTGGAGGCTTTTAAGAAGAGACTGGACAGCTATCTACCAGAAATACTATAGATCTCCCACGAGAGCAGGGGGTTGGACTAGATGACCTCCAGGCCTCTATTACTGTTATTGAATCATGGGTGGTTGCAATTCAATCTGCTGAGATTCTATAGGGCATTGATTGTGTAATGAATTTTTCTGTTCCATTTTATATTCTTTTTTTAGACTTTAAAAAGTGTGAAATAAACCAGTTGAATCACTAGCCTTATTCTCCCAAAGAACCCTAAATAACCCTAAATAGCCATTGATTTAATGTCATTTTCTGTGTTGGGGGGGGGGGTTAAGGATGGACTTAATCCCTGCTCCAATCCCCAATTTTAGTTTTGGAAAAGAAAGAAATGCATTAGTGAAATTCATCTATTTTGCTGCTGAATATGATGCAGCCTATACCTGCATGATATTTTTATATATTTTCTTTGGAAATGCTTAGTAAAACATACACTATGATGTTTTTAAAGTTGAATACATTCCATCAATGGTCCATTCTCTTGACAAATAATAAGATATAATCTGTTTGGGCTGAGAGGATATCAGTGCTTTTAAAAAAATAATATATTTATTTAGAAATTGTTACAATCGTTAAAAAGGATTACTATTGCTTATAATTATAGCTAGAGATTGTAAGATTTATTATAAATATAAATATATCAGGTGCACATGACACTGAATTCCAGCAAAAGGATTACTAAAATGGTTTTGGAAGGTAACACTTTGATTCTTCAAGTTTAATTACTCATTGTAATTGACCCTCTTGCCCAGCCATGAAATATACTGGCTGGATTTATGCTTTGAGAAAAAACATTTGTAGATTGTGATCAGAAATATCCTCATGCATACTGATCTAAAGTTTAAAAAAGCAGTAGTAATAGTATCACAAAGAAACAAAAACCTTGATTTATTGTCTATAGACTGGCATGTCTGAAATGAAAAAAGAAAATGCGGCCTTTTATACATAGAATTAGTTTCAATAACAACTTGGGGTCAGTCTAGCTTCAGATGTGATATAACAGAACTTGGAAGTAATTAAATGATTCTTTCATAAAACTGCAGAAACTATTGGATTTTTTTTTCTCACCCTACTTGCAAATGGTATGAGAAAGTTTAACAATTGCTTTAGTCTCCTCTTGATATATGACAATAATTACAGGTAGTCCTCGACTTATGAACACAATTGACCCCAAAATTTCTGTTCTAAGCGAGACAGTTGTTAAGTGAATTTTGCTCTGTTTTACAAACTTTCTTGCCATGGTTGTTAAGCAAATCACTGCAGTGGTTAAGTTAGTAACATGGTTGTTAACCTGGCTTCCCCATTGACTTAGCTTGTCAGAAGGTTGCAAAGGGGCATCAAATTACCTCAGGAGACTGCAACCATCATAAATATGAATCAGTTGCCAAACATCTGAAATTTGATCATGTAATCATGGGGATGCTGCAACAGTCGTAAGTGTGAAAAATGGTCATAAGTCATTTTATTCAGCGCTGTTGTAACTTTGAATAGTCACTAAATGAACTATTGTAAGTTGAGGACTACCTCTATAATAATTTTGACCTATTCTGATTTTTAATTTACGTGACTGCTTGTTGATACTTTTGATAAGTATACATTCATCATTTAAATAATGGACAACTCTGAAAAGGCATGACATTGGAAAAATTAAAATATTTCCCATTAATTTCTATTTCTCTTCTCCATTTTGGGTTGCTGGATACTTACCAATTAACTTGCTATCAATTTTATCTTTGTCTGTTTTAATGAATAAACTCAATGGTAGAGTTTCATTTTCAATATTGGTAATCTGAAAATAAAAAAATAATAATAATAATTGCAAAAGCTAGGTTTACTTGGAACAGCTTACATCCTGCGATGATACTTTCAATATTATTATGATACAAGAACATTTGCCTATCCCAGGTCTATGGGAATGACTTGATAAGTGGACAAAAATGCCCATTCCAGTCTAAATACCTGGCTGCCTGTGCAATCACATCATAATAATAATAGTACCCATAATAACAGGCCCCTTGGGTGGAATTTCAAAACAGAAGCACCACTTGAACACTATTGGCACTGACAAAACCAGCCATTGCAAAAGGCAATTTTACTTGGAACAGTTATATGGAATGTGCTCCTGGAGAAGCAGAAAGAGGAGTTTGAGAAGCAGAATCAGAGTTTTCCTAGGGAGGGGGAATACTCTACCTGCTAGATTAAAAGGTTATAACTTTAGTTTGACAAGATTCTTTCTGTTAGAAATACTCAGGTTATACCTAGTAGATTAGAACAGTATAACTTTAGCTTGGCAAGATTGTGTTGTCTTTGGGCTTGGGCCTGATAACAGCTTATATTCTGTGATGATAACTTTAATGGCATCAAACAACACCTTCCTACCCTAGTTGCTTGGGAAAGCCTTGATGGGTGGATAAAAATGCCAAATCCAGTCTAAATATCTAGCTGGCTATGTAACTACTACTGCCACCACCAATTTCATTTAAAAATTATCCAATGTTTTTGGCCATATATCTAAAACCAAACGACTTACTACTGTATTACTGCAATATTAGTCACCTAGTGACTAATGACTATTCATAGTCATATTATTCTAACACACAAAAAAAGAACTGTGCAGCAAAAAGCCAATAAATGCACCAGAAAATGTTACTCTGTAACAGGAACACAAAAGAGCTATTCTAAAATCAGGTTAAAATATTTATGTAGTCCACTATTCTGTTCTCATAGTAACCATCCAACTATCTCTGGAATTTGCTACTTTTCATTCATCAGGAACTAATATTGAGAAATATAGTGCCTCTGGCAGTGAAATCAATATGTAGTCATCATGGCCAGAAAGTATAGTCTTAACCTGCACCAACATTCTCTGTTCCTTTAAGTTACCCATTTTGTGGTACTGTATTCCATAAATTAACCAGGAATTATATGAAAACAGTACTTCTGTGTTTCCTGACTTACATTTAGTTTTACTTACTAACTCTAGGAAGATATAAAATGGAAGCAAAGTGCTTAGTCAGCTATGCTATAAAAGAAAAATATCCATTTAAGTAGATTTGTTTTCTTGTTTAAGAAATGTGGCTTCCAAAGAACTAAGAAAAAATATGAATAAAGCAGACAAAAATATACTTTGCATTCTGAAAGTCTACACCATTACTATAAATCTTCTTCCCATATAAAAGCTCATGGCATGAGAGTTTCCAGAACCATCTGTTCCATCCTATGTACAACTATCATAAGTACATTTTAGCGAATACAGAACATTTGAATGACATCAAAAGCTGAGTTTATAATTTATCTTAGATAGGTCTTCAACACCAAACTTCCTCCACTTTCTTACCTCCATAGCAGGAGGCATATGATATATGTTATATGAAAGATGACAGATTCCCTGCCACATGAGATCAAAAGGACCGTTCATAAATAGTCTGTATATGAACACACCAACAGGAAATCAATGCCATTTTCTCTCCACACAAAAATATAGTCAACAGTTATTTGAACATGCCCAATAATATACCAATTATAGGTGACAGGTGAAAAATAGGACTTTCCCAATATTACATGAAATCTACACCCCTCTTAATCAACCTAACTGTGACTACACTCCCATTTAAGCAAGACATGATTAATTATTCTACAACAATACAAAGAGAGAAAAAAACAGTAAATTGTTCTTAAAAAACAAAATATTTACCTCTGGGCTTTCAAATAAATATTTTCCATTTTCTGTTTGTTCCACTGTGGTCTCAAATTCAAACTTATTATTTCCAATTTTGAAAGTTCTATCCTGTGAAAAGAAATCTTTGATTTATAATATTTATGTCATCATTAAATCAAAGTTTTACTGAGCAATATAAATTCCACTTCTGGGGTGAGAATAAAACTACATTTGTGAGCAATATTATGAAAAAAAAATTGTATGTCTGGGAAAGAAGTTTACAGAATTGGCTGACTTCCCAAAAGAACAAAAGTTTCATGAAATCTGCATATGTCTAAAATGTACACTTGGAAATAGTAGCATGTTGGAGTGATGAGCCCCTGGTCTTTACAGTATTTTGCCTTTATATCAAATACTTATATTTGATATAAAGAAGCCCTGGTGGCACAGGGGTTAGAATGCAGTATTGCAGGCTAAATCTGCCACAGCCAGGATTTTGATCCTGAGCGGCTCAAGGTTGACTCAGCCTTCCAACCTTCCAAATGAGGACCCAGATTGTTGGGAGCATTACGCTGACTCTGTAAACTGCTCAGAGTGCTATAAAGCATTATGGCAGTGGTTCTCAACCTGTGGGTCGGGACCCCATTTGGAGTCGAATGACCATTTCACGGGGGTCGCCAAACAATGCAGTCCGCCATTTTTTCCCCCTTTTCCTTAGCTGTGCTACTTCCTTTTATTCTATTGGCTTTTGAAAGCTAATAGAATAGACTCTCTTGAATAGAGTCTAATTCTATTGGCTTTTAAAAGCCAATAGGAATTGTCCAGGCTGTCTCTGCCCTGCTGAGCCCGCCAAAAGTCCCATTCTGCAAACGGTGCTGCACCAGTTGAGTAGTCCTCGACTTACGACTGGTTGGAGGTCGCGGCATTAAAAAGGTTGAGAACCACTGCATTATGGAATGGTATATAAGTCTAAGTGCAATTGTTATTGCTATATTTGACAAAGATTCTTTTGATAAAAAAATAACTTATTTTCTAAAATATGCCATTGTCAGGCTTACTCTAACCAATTGCAAAGTGTTCCAAGTATGTTTTCTTCACATCCATTAAAAATATACATTATTGTTTATATTATACACCATAAGTGTTTATAATCTTTAAGGTTTTATCCCATTAAACCCATTTTGAATCATCCAAAGTATAAATACAAAAGAAATTATACAAAACTGGATGGGGAAAGATAATATAAAATATTAAAATTTTATTAGGACTAAAGCATACAGGTTTGTATCTGGTACATTCAAAAAATAACTTTCTCTTTTATTTATTTATTGTCACAATTGTGTGCCGGTTAAGATATTTTTACTCACAGCCTTTTAATTCCTTAATTAAATAAAGAGGAACTTAATCGAAGTCAGACACTGTTTATGACAGTATTTTGCTTCTACTCTTTCAGGCATTATATAATAAAAGCAAAATATTTTTTTTAAACTTTAATAGTGACCTTGGCTCATAGAAAACAGATAACAGTATATATTATAATCTTTGCTTTCCTATGTAGAAATATGAAATATAAATAGAAAGCTAGTTTTGTCTAGTGGTTAAGGCATTGGGCTAGCAACTGATGTTCTCATCCTGCCTTGGGCACAAAGCCAATTGGGTGACCTTGGACAAATGATTTTCTCTCAGCCTTAGTAAGGAGGCAATGGCAAAGCACTTCTGAAAAACCTTGAGAGAGAAACCACAGAGGCTTGTCCTAGCAATCTCTACAAATCAAACATGCTTGAACGGAAGAAAAAAAATATCCATCCTGAATATTCATATATATGTACATTCAGAAATCAGAGTGAGAGTTTTTCTAACTCCTGAATGTGAAAAAGATATCTTATATGTCTTTTTACAGTACTACATTTTACAGTAGAATTTTCTGTAGCAAGCATATTCTAAACACAAATTTGCTACTTAGAAGGTAAAAATATGGTACTCTATTTCTTTTGCTAATGTACTATAAATTAAGTTACCTCTCCATTTATCAAGACCTCTTGTGGAAATCATCAAGAATGTCCTTTATCTCATCTTGATCTTAATTTGATATAAAAACCATCAGTCTGTTACATCAGTAAAATTGAGGACCTTTTGAGTATAAGAATGGCTGGACTTTAAATATTAATTGTTGGAATATGCTGAGGATAGTCTCTTTGACAGTGATATATTTTATATATATTGTTTGTTAATTTGTGAAGTTATGTATAGAACAGGAGTGTGATGTTTCTCCTATGGGTTTTAATGGCTATTACTGATCAATCAGTAATAACTGAGGTCTCAACTGTTGCTTGAATTCTTTTAATTTTTTAAAAAAGAAGTTGTAGCTCCAAATGTTCCTTTTTTAAAATCAAAATCAGCTTTAATAGATGGTTAAACATCTCATTCAATTCATAGGAAAAACACATTTTGTACAAATAAAAGTAACTTTTCAAAATCAATACATTAGTGATATCTAAACACAATATTCATATGTGCTCTGATCCTTTGCACATGATCACACTCTGGTTGCCAACAAATTGGATTTGCATTACATGCTAAGAAAGTTATAACTAACCAAGCTTATCATGTTATATGAATACAGCTACTAGCTTTTTAAATGGCCTTGTTGAGAGTGAATGTTAATCCAAGCCATTGAGCACTAAGGGCTGTGGGAAGGAGAGATGTTGTAAATCATTAAGGTGATGACTGTTTCCTATTTATTAAGAAACCTGAAAATCTTTAGAGATATTTGAGCAGAGCCATCCTTGGGTGTTTATAAGTACGTTTCCAGGAAACTTTTAATTATAATATGGGCAAACTGAATAACTTTTTAGTTTATAAAGACAGACATGGAGATAAATAATAAAAACAAAACAGTTATAGAAATTATAATTTAATGAAAATTAATAATAATATGCAAATTTGACTACTGAAAGAGGGATATATAGATTAATTTAAGTAATTTTAAATAGGATAATGATGACCTGGTAAACCACAGTGGTAAAAACTTGATCTAATCTGAAATTTAACAAAAACTGAGGAATCTGAATAAATGGGTTCAAGACCAATAGAATCCCCCCCTTTTTTCCAGAAAAATTTCATAAGTTCAAAGGTCAACTGCATTTATTCACATTGATGCAGACATAATCTAATTGCTAATCATGCATAACATAAACAGTGAGGAAAATGACCTTGATGGAGATATACAGAAGCTGATGTCAAGACAAAAGGGGTTAAAACATTTTTGAAGTCCAGAATGTCTAGATAGTGTTTTGAAGAGATTCAGTAATCCACTGAACAATAAGCGGGAGTAGACACAGCACAACCAAATATATGCAAGGTTTTGTAATTATACCCAGACTCAAGAAAAGTATGTCCTATCTTCTTGTGGAGTTGATTTCATAGTTTGGTCTACCTAAGGGGGCTGCTACAGAACTACTAGTTGGGTACAAAGGAAAATTTGCTAACTATGAACATTTTGTTTTTCATCATCATCATCATCATCATCATCATCATCATCATCATTATTATTATTATTATTATTATTATTATTATTATTATTATTTAGGACAGGCATGCCAAACTCGCGATGTCATGTGACATCGCACAACGTATCGGGCTGGTTTTGCCATTGCTGGCAATGGGGTGGGCACGGCTTCCGGTCTGTGGGCCAGCAGTTTGACACCTGTAATTTAGCAGAACATGCATAAACATTGATGAGGACTTTTCTTCTGAACAGGTAATTGTGGATCAAAATGTGGCAAGATCACAAATAGTACCCTACTTCCAAAACTTATAGGATTATGTTACTTGTTTAAGTAAATGGTTACTTGAACTTCAAGTATTGTTGCTGTCACATTTAACAGTTCTTGCCATTTACCAAACACCAAGTAAACTAATCATATTTATTGAGTAGTGACTAACTGCTTTTCACATAATTATGAGTAGCTGACATGATTATTCTCCACAGCCCTCCAAAATCCCATCTGGAATGTAAAATAGACTAAGAGTTAAAACTATCTGCTAAACTTTGCATGCAAATGGAGATTTAACCATATGTTCCTTGCCTTGGTTTAACTTTCAAACTTCTTTTTTTATTTTGTTTTATCAATAAGAATAAAATAAAAACAGAAAAACATATACCTAACATTAACAACAACAAAAAATGGCGCACAAAAAGGGGAAAAAATGATCCAAATATCAAATAAATGTAACATTAAACATATCTTGTAGAATCCACCCAGGCTGTATGTTGAAAAAAGAATAAAAATAAAAAAAATAAATAACCCTGATAAATTCTCTTTCCCTTTACATAACAGGTCTAACTTTCAAACTACTATATCAAACTGACTCATTTTGTCTAGACTTGAAAATTTTACAAGTAGTATGACAAATGTGAATCCCAAATATCTAATGGGAAAAATTGGTTATATTTCTGATCAGTCAACATAGATTTTAATACCAGTATGTAAAATACTAAAAAGCAAAATGAAAATGGAATATTTTCATCTAGACCAAAAGTTAATAAAAAGATAGAGAGGAAATGGTTTGCAAGTTCAACACATCCAAGGCAATTAGACTATTGCAGAGGCATTATTTCTCTCTCCTCATTTTGAGCCCAAAGAAATGTCAAATTTTATATTCATGCTCCTGAAAAGACATCACATTAGTGTTATACAGCACCCTCAATCCGATTTGTGTCTTCACATTTAATTAACTCTGGTAGAATTAACATTGAAAGTAAACTAAAAAATTCAAGAGCATCCACTTTCTCAATGATTTCCTCATATTTCTTACGGTGTACATAATACGCACTGAGGACTATTGCTATACTTTATTCCTCAATATTAACCAAAACATTACAATTATAAATACTATGCAGAAAAAACCAGCAGCGTTCAGGACATGTCCGTTCATAAAAAAACAACAACATTTATTTAAAAATAATTTACCAAATGATGTTTTGTTTGCATCATGCTAAAGCATGGAAGTGGATTTTAATCATATCGTCATATAGATCAATTTCTAATGAATCACCGACCTCTAATACAGTGATCAAATTTTCCTGCTAATAGAAGGGTTCATTAACATGCAAAGCAGCTCTTTGTATGAATCCCTATAGATGTACAGGTTCATCTGCTGATGAAATTCAGAGAAACCCCACAGCGCTAAAACACACTGGAAGTTTTGACTGGATGATGCATAACTTTTATCTAGTAAAGATATTTTAAATTATCCATCAAAACAAGCTTTAAAAATTGCATGATAAATTATGTATTCTTTCCATTCTAAAAGGCTCCTCCCAACATTTGACATTTAATTTTTAAACAAGGGAATTACAAACTATCGGGTTTTATATCTTAAATACATATTAGAATTTATTTAATTTTACCTGATAATTATCTAGATTCTTTCCTTCAAAATAAACTTTTGTTGAGACCTCCATTGGTATTACTTCAGGACTGGGATTTAGAAAATGTGGACATTCTTCTTCCTAGAGGACAAACATTTCATACATATTAGTACAGAAATTGTGTATATCAGAATATGTTTCGGACAATGATTTTTTGTGTTATTATTATTTTTACAGATTTGACTATAAGCATACAATTAATATGTTGGAATGTCTGAACTACTACTCAACACTTGAAAATTTTCCATCCTTACAAGTAAACTATGAAACAGAATGGAGGGCAAATATAATTACCTAAGCACACAATTATAATTCAGATATCTACGTCATATTCATATTGCTTCTGCCTCTTCAATGACAGGGATTTTAAAAACAGGTCTATATCTTTTTGCTATGAAGCATAACTCAACTGACTTTGGCCCTCTACAATGCAATTAGATAGGTTTCACAATACATTTACCTTATAGCGTTTATTGCTGTATTGCCTGATATACTATCAACCTGATTTATTAGCTGATTGCTATCTTAATATTACCTGCAGAACTTCTAAATTTTATTCCTTTATATGGTCACTGGGCTGTGAAATATTTTTTAATACAGTTCTATACAGTAGTTATATTTTATTTGAGTTTTAAAGATGTTGCCCATACTAAACATTATCTCATTTTATCATAACCAAGTTCAGCCAAAGTCTTGAATGAGATTCCATCTTAGAACATTTACCATATTCTGTTTAATCACATCCTGCTCTAGAGAAGCATCTTCACAGACATGATTCTTCCAGTCCCATTGGCAATTCCATCTACTGCTTGCACAGGAATAACACCTACATGAATAAATAAGAAATGCTTTTAGTTTGCATGCTCTTTGGCTCCTTTCTAATAATAATTTACAATGTCATTTTGTACATTAATAAAAATCCAAAGTCTTTCAGAGACAAAAATGTCACTTGGAAGGTAGAAAATATTCATTACTGCCTGAGTGCATGTATGTACTCTTTAAACCAGCTGTATCTTTAAATCCATAGCTGAAATATAATCCTGGGAAAAGACTAACTGGTTTATAGAGATGAAAACAGGACCACTACAGACATTCACATGTGCTGCAAATCATATTTTTGCTTTATATCACAAAGCCATAATGGCCTGTTGATAGCCCAAAAATTCAACAAGGTTATCTCCCAAACTACCAGATACGCAGATACATGTTCTGATATAAGGACTTAAGAAACAACTAATGGTGTTACAAAGGTTCAATATTTCAAAATCCTGCTGTTGCGGTATATGAGACTATGGCTGCAGTTTTTCTACCAGCACAAAGGACTCTAGGGCTGGAACAATGGTTTGTTACCATCATATGTAATCATGATACAATCATGTGTTATATCAGGCTATTGGACCAGGAGATTTCCAAACTTCACCAACTGTTCCTTAACCCATCAAGATAATTGTTTGTATTGTTTTCAGTTATTTAACTTACAAAGCAAAGGAGATAAGTCAGACAGATCTTAGATGCTTGAGTAGTAAAGGTCAGACAAAAAATGCTTCAATGAAAGCAAGTAAAATGGAGTGTCTCCCCCACTATTTAAACACTTTTTTTAATCAAGATACAGAAGGTCTCAGTTACAGGAAAAGTCAAGGTATAGTTTACATCAGCTTTGCTGATACTCCACAGAAAAGTCTTCTTTGAACAACCTGACTATGAAATCAAAGACATTAATTATTATAATATGTGAGTGCAAATAGCATGGGAAGGGGAGGTATAATGAAGTTCAGCAGCCAAACACTTACGGCTCATTTTCAATATGATTTATAGCTTCTCCACAGTCATAAAAAGGGTATGTACCCGATGCAAAAAATATATTATCTCCAAAGGTCAGATTTACCAGAACCAGGACAGAGTCTACAAAAAAATAGTAAAGATTAATTTGATTGAAGATGCTTTACAATTTACACAGTTTGGTTCAATTTAAGGTCTATTCCAATAATATGCCCTACTGAAGCATTTAGTGAACTTCTGAGGTTAGGGCATTAATCTTTGACTCTTTCTTAATAGCATATACAATTAAACCTGATGACAACAGGCATGTTAAAATACTTTAGAATCCCAAGCTTTAACAATGCCCAAATGTTTTTTTCCAGAAGTAGTAAACATCCTATTATTGAAAAATATAGTCTGATAAAAAGTAAAAGGAGAATAGCAATAGCAATAGCAGTTAGACTTATATACCGCTCCATAGTGCTTTACTTTGTAAGTGGTTTACAGAGTCAGCATATTGCCCCCAATAATCTGGGTCATCATTGTACCAACCTCAGAAGGATGGAAGGCTGAGTCAACCTTTAGACCTGTCAGGATGGAACTCTAGACTGTGGGCAGAGTTAGTCTGCAATAGTCTGTGCCATCAGAGAAACACCACAGATAGAAAATAAAATGCATGAATAAATCTATTAATGAAAGAATATTTAATTTTAGATTTTTAATTATGTTAATGCTTCAAAAATGATTAGGCAGAAGTGTTTGGACCTTGTGTGAGTATAGCACCTGTTTGCTCTTTATTAAAGCACACTAACTTATTTCACATTTCTATACAAGCCTGTGAAAAGTCAATGTGACTTTAAAAAACCCAGTATTATTTTAAGTTTATATGGAAGCCTGAAGACATTTAGGATGCTTTTAAAGAATAGTAAAAGTGTTTTGCTTATACTTAAACTTCTGTTGAATTTCTAAAGAGGATACACTCCTATTTGTTTTTAATAAGATACATGGATTCAAAAATAAATGCATACATACACACAAAGATTGCATATAGAAAGTATATGTTGCTGAAGTCATTTATAAATAAAGCATGCTTCTCAAATAGAAAATATGTTCTGAAAATAATAATTTGAGACTAAAATTTTGGAAAAAACACTAGTATATTGCACATATTTCCTCTATTAATACATTACAAATCTGAATTATTACAGAATTAAGAATAAAATAGATTAAAAATATTATTGTCACTCTAAATGTATACTAAATCAGCATATATTAAGAATGAAGATCTATAGAAATTGAGGCTTTCTCAATGAGACTCCTAGCTATTCCTCTTATGGAAATCATTAAACCTTCTGACAAGCTATTTCACAACCTATTGAGCAACTTCAAACTCTGCTTTCCTCTAACAGCTTGTGGAAAGAGTGGTGACAGTTTAGATTTAAGCTCACTTCATGAAAAATTCCAGTGAAAATTTTTGGATGTTTTTCACTTTAGGCCATACATTCAGAGGTCAACTGGAAACTGAATATATATTTTAGAGACGTCAGTTAATTCAGAGCTGTCGCTTTCAAAACAAATTTATTATGACATAGTTCATTTGCATTGATCAAATCTTCTCAGGAGAAGTGGATGTGACTAGAAGCATTTCTTACATTCCCCAGGAAACCACTAATTCTTACATTCCCCACAGGAAACCACTTGCAACAATCTGCAAGAAATGGCATTATATAAGAAGGCATGCACTATTAACTTGCTAGAAAAATGCACAAACAGAAAATCTCTTATGTTCAATATTTATGAAGCAGCCACTGTCTCATCTTCCAAAATATAGTCTACAGTGAAAAATAACTTAAAATGCATTTATATATCATTCTACCATCCAAGACAAAAATGGCATCTAGGTCAACTATTAACTTTGGCTTTAGTCAACCAATGGTTTCGGCATACGATATGGCTTTTAAGGCAACTTTTTCAACCTGGTCTCCTGGATAGATACTGGAATGCAAATTTGAGAAGATTAGATAGTATAATCTTTGTGTTTACTGTTTATTTACTATATTTATAAACTGGCCCAATCAACTAGGATTCTGGGCAATAGAGAACACGATCGGTATACCAAGAACCAAAATGGGAAGTTCAACCAAATAAAATAATAAAATACAAATCTAAAGTAATAATCAGGACAAACTAATACTCATTGAAATAACAAAGTTTGACCTTGTGTCCTAAATAAAAGAATGGAGGAAGTCATCCTCATTTCTGGATTTGGGGTATTTCAAAGAATAGTTGATACCACTGAGAAGGCCTAGCATCGGATCCACAGCCTAAGAACTGCATGGAATGGGGATGGGAGAGGCTCAATAGTCCTATCTGCAAGATGAATTGGATGGATAGATTCTAACCTGACATCATTGTCTGATATAATCCAGTGCTTTAAAAGTGGATGAATAGCACTTTAAAAAGTCATCCAGCTGTATTTATATGCCAATGGATTGTCTTATCAGGAGTCTTGTCAATGAAATTTTGAACCAGACAGTTTATAAATCATTTCCAAGGGTAGCCTGACATAGAGAGTATTACAGTAATCTTACTATGTGGCGAACTGAACATGACTCACTGTTGCTAGGGCATTTTATTCAAGGTAAGAGATACAGCCAGTGCAGCAGCTGAAATTGAACAAAGATCTCCCTAACCATGGCTTACACTTGCTATTTCATCCTGAGTCATGAGTGCTGAAAGAGCTCAAGTTATGCATCCTTGGGGAGTAACTACGGTATCAAGAGTAACTACGGTATTGATGTTTTTAAAAAGTACCCTGATGTTTACTGGCAACAAGCAACTCAGTTGTAGCAGGCTTTAGTCCAAATGAAACTGAAAGCCTATTTAGAAGTTCATCCATATCCTTCACCTTTTAGCTTTTTTTGTAATACTTAACATAAGCCTAAGGAGACAAATATGCCTGGAATGCATGAAGCAGAATTAACAGACAAGCTGCTATTAATATTTCTGAGAAGAAAAATGTTAAAGATATCATTTTTAGACTAATGCCAAGAAAAATGAATCACAGAAAAACCCACACAACATTTGTTGTTTCAAGCAGCTATTAAAATAGTAGCTTCAAACTTGGGATATGGGATTTATATGGGGCTCGGCTGTATCTTTACCTTGGCCTTTGGTTGTTGGAGGAATTTGATTTGGAGGTAGGCAGATAACAGCATCACCGTGTTTCTCTGCCTGCTGCCTCATTTCACCAAACTGACACCAAAGCTGATCATCTTCATTTAAGTCTGGCAAAGGGCTTATAGTAAATTCTACCTGGAATTGTAAGAACAAACAATACTTAGAAACAATACAGATTCTAACAGAGCAGCAAAAAAGTGCAGCTGTAAAACTTTGTACAAAAATAAAACAAAATTGATCAATGTGTAAATGTAACAATAGTGGCATTTTAATGGGTTACTCTTAGCCCTAGTAATTCTGGAAAAAAGCCACATGTTTTACATACAAAAGGTTAAAGATTCAATACTTGGTACTGAACAAATTTTTGAAAAGTTTGGAGCAAAGATCTCAGTAGAAGACCCCTTGCTAGTTGAAGTAGAGAGTAATTGTTTAGATCACAAATAGACAATTATGGCTCTCTTGATGTTACTGGATTCCAGTTACTATGACACAGACCAATGGATGATAGGAATACTTTCAATAACTTTCTAGACCAATCATCTGTTGCTATCTAAGGCATCTTCACAGTATTTTCATACATTTGGTTAGCTATTTCCAAGGAAATTAGTTCAGAAAGGGCTTATAATGACATTTTATTACTTTCAAATGACACCTTATGTTATTTCAAGAAGCCTGATGTACTGATAAATTTTGCATTTTTTATACCGGAATGTCTTTTTTAATTTTAAGAATAATACTTTGTGATGATTTTATGGAAACCAAACCAAACCATTAATAGAATTCACCCATCCTCTCTTGTGTTGTCATCATATTTACGTAATACTGTATTTACACAGTATGCTGACATATATTTGGATAAATCTTAGGAACTGACTTATTTTTGTTGTAAAAAGAACAGGGCAGTCCCAGTGGAACATAATTTGAATCAGTCTGCATGAATTTCCACTTTTTCTTTTTCAATTTTTAGATGGAATTCTCTATGTAACTTGCAAAGGTGAATTGTCCCCTAAAAAACTGCCCTGCATATTTTTGAAACAAGACATAAGCCATTTTTGTCATGCTTTTATGTCTCTACAAAATATAACAAGTCTTTTGTTGAATTCTCACTTCAGCCTAAATGTAGCATCTATTCAGCACAGAAGTTGTTTAGACTTTTCCAGCACAATTAAAGCATGCTGTCCACAGAACAGCATAAGCCAGAACACACAGCAGGAGTTGTAAGTCAGGCTGGAAATAATCAAGGAACTTATTCTGAAAGGACAACAAGGCAACTGCCCATCAAATAGAGCTGAAACAACATTTTGTTTGGTGAAGGACAAAAATGAGATATTTTCTGAGGAAGAGTAATGTTTGGTTGCTTTACAAGCATTGCAGAATGAGCACCCCAATGTTTAATTTAATACTTATTAAGAAATAAGTATCCTCAAAAAAGATGAGAAAAAATGGAATGGGTTAAGAAGTTCATTGATTTGAATAGTTCCCTAAGAAAACTGCTGACATCTTTCCCAACACTTTAGACTTCACAGTTCCATTCTGCTTAGCCATCGCCTTTAACTTCTGTGTGTTTAAAGTAATTGTGTGGCCTATTTTCCCAAGTGAGAGAGTTTTGCCTTTAGGAATCAGAACATTCGGGTCATGAAAAAATGAACCACGGGAACTGGTAAATGTAACTATACAGTCAGGGAATGAGCAAGAGATGAAAAGATGCTATCTTTTTGTACTATAATTATTCACAATATAATATTGCTCCTATTCATTGTAATTCTTCCCCCCCCCCCATATAATACTTTTGTTTTGAAAGGAATGGGGATATCCTATCTGTCTAAACAAACTAAATTCATGACTTAGGATTTTTTCTGTCTTTATAGTAATGATGATCTCAGCAAGATACTTTGTTTATTAAAGCTGAGTCTTCAATTGCTAACTCACCGCAACATACTTCTGTATCTTTTGTATAAATACCTAATTGCAAAGGACTCCCAAATTGTAGTTTACCATTTGAACAACCGAATTATCTAACAGGAAATCTCTTTCTGTTGATCATTCTGTGCAAAATGCAGAGTTACTAAAGATATGTCAACACCAGATGTTTCTGTCTCCTGGATGTACTAGAAATAGCCAGTAAATCTAATTCTAGATTATATCTCCTAAGAAGAATCTGCTCTAGTACTTAATTCTGGGGGGGGGGGTTCTTTCAAAGTTTTATGTTTACAGGGTTATTATTATTATTCCTTTCAAAGTTTTAAGTTTAGAGGGTTATTGTTGCGTCCTTCGCGAAATGGCAATGACACGAGAAGCAGTTGTAGTTCTCAGGAACTTCTTTATTTCTGTTCAGCATACTGGTTACAAGACGCCAACAACGCCCAAATCTCCCAGCCTCTTTTATAGGCCATTCCAGGGCCAATCTGCAACATTTGGCATGCCAGCACCCGCGCATGCGCTCAAGTGCTGGCGACAGCCAGTCTGGTCCCGGGCAGCTTGCACCTGCCCCATTGCAATGCCCCGAGCCTGCTTCCACAGGCTCAGGACATAACAGTTATTATTATAAGAGCTGAGCTATAATATTTTTGGCTTGTTTAGCTATAGTTTAAGGTCTGATTGGAGGGCTAGTCTGCAAAATTGGCATTCCCTTTCCTCAGATATTATGGGAGTATTTCTCAACTTTGGAAACTTTAAGATGTGTGGATTTCAACTCTCAGAATTCATCAGCATGCAAGGTTGCCTGGATATTGAAATCCATACATTTTAAAGATCCCAAGGTTAATTAACACTATATTAAAAGTAGCCACAGAGAAGCTATAGGATATGGTCACACCCACTTTAATTGCATGTTTTAGTACTTTGGAACTAAGTCTTTATCTAAGCAGATATTATGAAAATATGATATTCTCAAAATATGGAATCTTTAAGTCAATCTACCTCTCACAACTCAAAATATAGCTCTGCAGATGTCTTTTTAAATTGTCAGTTTCTTGGGTACAGGCAAATTTCACTTTTTTTTGCACCCAGATGTTTTGAAAAGAAAAAATAGAACTTCAAGATTTTATATAAAACTAGCATTTTCTCAGAAATAAGTACAAGATAAACCACATTAAACAAGCACAAGGAATGGTAATTAAAATAATCTAAACTGCTTTTATGTATGACCATGCAACACGTGTGCACAACTATTTCCTACCTACCTACAACCCCAAACATATTTTTTTCATATATATGATGAATTTATTGCACATTTACCTTGCTCAGAACTTTCCGGCTCATATTTTGAGGGTTAGCACTTGTAATACTCAAGCAAACACCATTAGGACTCCAAAGCCAATTATTTTCCCTAGCTGATCTTTCACAGTCCTTTTTCCTTGTGCATCTGGAATAAATAATAAAGCCTAATGTTATCCAAAGTAAATTAAAAATTTTAACTCAACACTCAGTCAAAATGAAATGACATTCAAACCTATGCAAATTGACAAATGACAGATGGCACACGTTAAATGTTTAATATATCATTTTTCCTTTCTTTCAGTTTACTTATTGTTCTTTGCGACAAGATAATTACCTATGAGCACTTAAAATGAAACAATAAATGTACAAATAATTGTCTTAAATACAATTTACTGTACAGTACTGGAAAATCTAATCTAATATTCAAGAAACATATAATGGAAAAGTAGCTTTAGCTGTTAAGAAGCTAAACTCTTATGAAATATATAAATCTGGATTGTTTTGATTATTCTTTAGCACTTTTCAAATTTGCCATCAGTTCTTTATTTTTAGCCTGAGACTTAGCTCCGTAGGCTCTCTCTCTGCTACAGAGAAAAGAAAACATTTCTGGCTTTGGAATTGGTTATTTTTCATTGCTGGAGGAAATACGAATTTAACAAAGTTCTTGAGATATGATCTACTTTCAGGTTTTGTCAATAATTTTAAGGAATAAACAGCACTGAGAACTCCAAATAGAGCTGAATGCAGGAGAACCCCATCTAAATTTATTGTGACTTTGGGTGGCTGAATATATTACTGCCTACACGCTTGAAATGTAAATAAAAATAAAAACACAATGAAACCATCATATGCATTTTACAGGAATAGATTCCATTAATAAAAATCTTTTGAGATGGATGGCCAGCCAACAGCTGTGGAAGACCTAAATTTAATGAATAGACACAGGGAAGCCAGACAATTGAAAATACCATGGGAGACTGTAAGGACCTAACTAGCAATGAGTCTAACAACATGGAATGGCACACTTGGCAAACATTTTTTATCTGCAGCTCAGTGTGAATAATCCTGAAAGCTACCTCTCCTGAATTGCAAGTTCTAGTTAAATTGCTTGGGTCTTTTTCTAATGTAATTAATAAGCTCCATTCCTTGCATCTAGCTATGAAGGTAAAACATCACATTCTTAATACAGGACATCAACTGTATTTTTAACTATGTAGCAAAGTAGAACAGAGCTATCTTATTTTGAACTTTTTTGAGCAGAGTCACATGACTCCCAGATTTGTTATGAGAAATTTTCCTAGACTGCAGAAAACTTTATTTGGCATATACATTAGGAAAAAACTAACACTGATGAATAAGTTCAGTAATGTCTACCCAGAGTGACAATGGTTTTCTAAGCTTCCTCCAGTGGTGGGATTCAGCCAGCTTGCACTGGTTCAGCAGAACTGGTAGCTAATTTTTTGTTGAGTTCAGCGAACCGGCTAAATCCCACCACTGGATGGTGCCCACTGAAGCCCTCGCCCTTTTTCGCAGGCTCAGAACGGCCCGCTGGAAGTGCTTGGATGCCACTTCTGGAAGTCTGTTCTGGGCTTTGGAGGCCCAGAGGAGGCCTCCCTGTCCCAGAACAGCCTGCCAGAAATGTGTGCATGCTGCTTCCTCCAAAAGTCTGTTCTGTGCCTCGGAGGCCCCCCCAGGCCCAGAACGGCCTGCCAGAAGTGTGTAGATGCCACTTCCGGAAGTTCGTTCTGGGCCTCGGAGACCCAGGCCCAGAACAGACTTCCGGAAGCAGCATCCATGCAGAGAGCCGGTTGTTCACATATTTGAACCCCACCACTGGCTTTCTCCAAGATTTTCTGCCAATTATATGTAGTGATGAAATCAGAGGACTTTCTCTTTTCATTGTTTTAATTGGTTTTTAGCAGTTTTAATTGTTTATTTGCAACTATTTTTTGTTTTCTGTTTTAAAGTCTGTCAGCTGCCCAGAGTCACATATGATGATTATAATGGATGACTACAATGTAATGGTGTGTGGAAAAGGCCTCGTGAGAATGGGCCAAGAAACACTGCCCAGGTAATGATCAGATAAGAGACAACTAGTCTGCAGCTAGATAGTGGATACAGCAAGAGGCTCAGAAGTGACCCTCCCAAATTTTGTAAAGAAGATAGCAGGAGAACTGTACCTTCAGACTTGTTAATGTAACTTTACAATAAAATAGAATTAGCTGATTTGATAGTGTTTCCTGTCTGGTGTATCCAGTAAGGCTGACATATAAAATGAATGAATGATCTGTATTATACTGCTAAATGGTAGGAATCTGACACATGTAATCTGGTATTATGTAAATATGACACTAAAATAAAATGCTGGCAGTGTACCATAGCTGTCTCCTTGCAATTAGGACATTGTCACTATTGATATCTAAGACTAATGAGTATCTACCACATACTGTGTTGCACCAAAGTGCTGTTACTACTAGCAAATGAAATCCCCAACAAGCAGGGCTCTAGACTCAACTTTCCTATCTTAGCAGGATGAGAAATTTGTAACATGCCACAATATTCCTCAATATATTTTTAAGAAGGTAAGCATGACTCCATTCTGTTATTTTTATTTCACATTTAACTGTTAACATATGTATTTTATGCTTTTCCCAAATGTCCAGCATATGTTGCATCCGTTTTTTCGTCTTTATTAGAGGTCTTTGCTTTGAGATTTTTTTTTTTTTTACTTTAGGCTTACCAAGTGATCTTCATAACTCTTTAAGAATTTGAATCTGGTATCTTGGACAATGAAGGAAAATTGAAAGACAGACAAGATTTACAAGAACATGGTGGCCATATTTGCAAATCCAAACAAGATATGAAAAAGATGTTAAAATAATGGGATTTTATAAAGAACAGACAGAATTTGACCAGATACAGTTAAAAATAGATAAAAAGTTGATTAAGAAACTCTATAAATATCCGTTAAGCCTAAAGATGGAGGAAGAACAAGCAAAAGAAACAATGATAATATGGGCAAAGAACTTTGAATATAATATAGAATTAGAAAACTGGCAAAAGTTATGGGAAAGAAATGTTAAATTAACTAAAGCAGTCGCATATAAAGAAAACTTATATAAAATGTTTTACAGATGGCATATGACACCAGTGAGATTAGCAAAAATGTTTAAAAATATTTCAAACAAATGTTGGAAATGCAAACAAAGACCAGGTACTTATTACCATATCTGGTGGACATGCCCTAAAGCAAAAAGATTTTGGTTAAAAATACACTTATGGTTGGTGAAAATGACTAAAAAACAAATAGACTTTAAGCCAGAATTATTTTTGTTAGGAATAATAGGAGCAAATTATGAGAAAGACTGTATATATTTAATTCTACACGTACTAACTGCAGCAAGAATTGTATTTGCCCAACATTGGAAAAATGAAAATTTACCAACTGAAGAAGAATTAATTAAGAAAATTTTAGAGTGTGCAGAAATGGATAGGCTGACTTTAAAGATAAAAGAGAAAGAAGATTCCGTGTATTTTAGAACGTGGGATAATTTTTATCAATGGCTAGAAAAACGAGTTAGAGAGAAAGGAATGTGATAGGTAATTTTGAATATATATTAGCAAGAAGAAGACCATTGAGTGATTAATTAACATAGTTTATGATAATTAACTATTACTTATTGTTTTTTTTAAACTCATGAACCCAGACATTATGCTGTTTGCTAAATATTGAGAATGTTATTTGAAAAAACCCTTAGCTCAACCCCAACCCTAACCCTAACCCAAATCCCAACCTCAATCCCGACCCTACCTTATTCCTAATCCTATAAAAACTAATAAAATATATATTAAAAAAGAATTTGAATCTAGGAACCTTGGTCTTAGTCCAAGATTTGAATTATGACATGGACAATGTTGGAGAGTGCTGGGAGTTATAGTTCAACTGGAATACTACAAGTTTTCCACATAGTGTATTAACGATACCATTGTAACCAAAATAAAATAATCCAATGCTACAAGAAATAAATTTTATGTACACTCTGCTCTGCTTTAAGGTTCTAACTTCTAGTATATTCTTGAAATATCCCTGAGCAAACTATGTTGCTAATTGATCTTTATAATGTGGTTTCTTCTTAATTTTGTCTTAAATCTTTCCTCAAGCCCAGTGATACCCTCTTCTTTGATGGTTGTTGCTGTCTCTCACAGATTTGACTTGGTATTACTATAGGTATCAAACCATATATTTTCCTGCATAGATCTTTGATATGTCAAAATAATGAGAGCAAAAGTCAGCACCAAAAGCCAAAAGAAAAGCTACTTTTCCAGTAAATGTGATTGTTTTATTCGTATTTCGTGAGTTGCATGAAACACATATTTTAGACTGTATGCCTTGGTACGGCATTACAATAAGCTTTTTGGTAATTTTACTGAAATCTTCTATATATTTAGAGAAGAAGCAGGATCCTCAAAACCCAGCCCCTTCCTATAACTAAATAAACTCTGTGCCAAGTTTATGAATTTCATATCACAAAATCCCATTTGGTTCTGCCATTGGGTTAATTAACTTGTAAGTTAGAAACAGAGTTTAGACCCATATTAAAAATAAGTCTAGAGACATTCAAAAATTTTGGTTCAGCAAATTTTAAGCATACTTCTGAAATATCATTTAATTACTATGCTTAATCTTCAATCAAGTGATAAATAGATTGTTCAGTAACTGGCAGAATTAATAGTAGTATCAGTAATAGTAATAATCTGAGCAAGAACTGGTGAGACCACAAAATAGATAAAATACTAGAAAATGAACAAGCTAACATGCTTTGACACTGTAGAATTCAAACAGACAAGCACTGCCGCATAACACCCCAGACTTATCAACAGTGGATAAGAAACACAAAAAACGTCTGGATAGTTGACATGGCAGTACCTGCAGGCAGCAGAATGCAAGGGTAAGAACTGTAGAAAAATCACAAAATACAAAGACCTGCAAACAGAAGTAGAACAATTGGGCTAAAATAAAGCAAAGATAGTACCAATAGTAATAGGCTCTTGGGCACAATCCTAAAACATCTGGAGCACTATTTGAAGACCATTGGCATTGATCAAAATCATCATCAGTAAACTGCAAAAGGCAGCCTAACTCAGAACAGCTTACATCCTGTGACAATATCTGTAACACCATCAGACATTCACATCTGCCTATCCCAGGTCCTTGGGAAGGATTCAATAGGCAGGCAAAAATGCCAAATACAGTATGAACATCTGACCAGTAGTGGGACTCAGATGGTTTGCACCAGTTAGGCAGAACTAGTAGCTAATTTTTTGTTGCCCAGGCTCAGAATGGACTTCCAGAAGCAGCATCCACACAGAGAACTGGTTGTTCACATATTTGAATCCCATCCCACTGATTGGGTGACAAACCATAATAACATCTGCCTGTGGTGGATAAAAATGCCAAATCCAGTCTAATCATCTGGCTGACTGTGCGACAAAATATATTAACATGAACTAGTCTTTTTCTTTCAAAATTGCAATGTAAAAGCTTAGAAAATTCATCTGACTGACTGTGAAATCTAGAAATGAAACAATTTGAGAAACAACAAAAAGCCAGGCAAATCCAAATAAAACCTTTAAATTGTAAATATTAATAAAAGGGGGGAAAGACAGATTGAAAAGGTAATGTATATAAAATGTAAACTTATTCAAATTGGAAGTAAAATCTTGCTTAAAATTTTCCTAAAAATGTCCACTCACATTTGTAAATTTAAACAATACAAAAAAAATGATACCAGCTATATTTTGTCTTTGTAACAACATCTACTGGGATTCATTGTTTGTGATTTGTTGAGATTCTCTCTCTGAAATAGCTTTTTGATACTATGGCACAGGTTTTTCAAGAAGTAGGATTTAATCCTATGCATCTCCAATTAGCTCAGAAGAGATCTATCTGAGATCACAGAGATTGTGTAGATAGCTAAAATAGTTCACCTTTTAATTATGTTTTATGTTGTATGCTGCACAAATTTAAACAATAGAAATGGTCCTGAATTTCAAGTGGGCTGTTGATATATAAATCTAAGAAATCATAAATATAAAATCAAAACCAATATACTAAGGATAACTTTTCTAAGAAAAGCACACAATCGGCTTACAGTATATCAACATGTGTTTGAAAATATTGTGGTTATATCTCCCTTCTCATCTTTGTTAATTTTAAGGTAATTTTAGTATTAATATTTTATTTTAATCTTTTATCTTGTTGCTTTTATTGACTGTAACCAGCCTAGAGTCACCTAGGTGAGATAGGTCTATATAATATAAATTTAATAAATAAATAATAAATGTCTATGCTTGAATGGACAAATTAAAAAAACGAAGAATTCTGTTGCAATTAACTCAGTTCTATACTGTCTATGTTTCAGGTGAACCAAATTCTAATTCTGAGTAATGTAAACTGTCACTCTTAAGGAACTACTAAGTGTAAAGGATTTGAAAACCTAGCATCCACCACATCCCAGACATAATCCTGAATAAGTCTTTGTCACTGCATGCAGAACATTACAAATTCTAGTTCAGTAGCAATTTTTTTTTAGAAAAAGCTTCAGACAGCTAGAAACATAAATATAGACAAAAGAAAGCAAAATTTGGCATAGCATTTATCCCTTCTGCCTCTGATTATAAATCCTTCTTTATAAACATCATTTTTGGAGCTATATTAAGGACCATTTAGGGTTAAAACACAAGAATAAGACTATCACTAGATAGATACTAAACGTTCACCAGCTGTGGCTTGGCAACTACCATTTTCATGCAAATTATATTCAAACTGTACAGGAAAAAATGTAAATTGGTTTTCACCCCGCTGCTCATTATATGTTTATATTGTGATAATTTGTGATGAAGATTTTTTTGTTCTCATACAAATGCTTTGAAGAAATTAGTCAACGTCCTGATCTTGTGAAAAAAATTAACTTGCATACTAAGATATCTCTCTCTTAGGTGCTGCTACAACACTTACTTTCCTTCTGTTACACACCAGCCACAGTAAGGATCCCTGGCTTGGATGCACAGGTTACAGGTTGAGTAACTAGCACAGTCTTGGACAGGCAAACGAAAAACCTAGTAAAGAACCAGTTAACATAAATAAGAAAATCACAGTAACTTTGAAAAAGAAAGCATGGAAAATTATGTTTACACACAAATAATATTCCAACAAGGCATTTTGTATTTTTAGCTTATCTACGATTTGTCCTGCATCTTCCTTGAATAATTTAACCAAAAAACTCAGGAACAAACATTGTTCAAGGTACTAGTGTAATGCCTGAAGATCATGTATCTAAATGGAATCTTTTGAGCCATCCAATCCAATGAAAATCCAATCATGGATTGGTTTACACACACTTACTGACACATTTGTATGATGTCGTATTATACTGAAAACCATTGTAAAGGTTTTTTTTTTCTTTTCAAACAATTCTCACTCAATCTGATCTTCTGTGATAAACTGCTTTTGAACCTGGGGTTCCATTTAGTTTTAACAACTTCTAGCGAGCAATAAACACCCATCCCTTCCTTATCCTCTGCCCACTGAGCTGCAATATTAGCACAGTAAGTACCACATTTCTATCCTTTATAATGCATAATTGAGAGCCTGGGGAAGGGGGAGCAAGCACTCTCTTGGAACTAGGAGTGCAGGATTATATGGCACTCTTTCACCTCAAGGCAAACGATCACTTCTTTCTGTAGAAATGTCAGTACAAGTATGTTGCAGGTAGCTTTTCACTGGGTGCTTATACAACCACAGGGCAACTGAAATTAATAGTACTTTTCCATACCCTCCCTCCAAGCCCCAAAATGTCGCTCACAGTTTAAAAAACTGTCATTGTTCATGTGAAAGTTCAATGGGCTTGGGGTTCTTCCTCTTTATTTTTTACTTCCAAATTTTCATTAATCAAATTGTTTTCACTAAGTCCCTTAGAGACTTAGGATCCTTTGTCATCAGCCATCATTAAAAAAAGTTTAGAACACACTTTGTAAATCATTTAAAAAATGCAGTTGTTTATGGAATTCTCATGATAATTAATGAGGGATACAGGACTTAACATTTTTGAACCTCACTTCAAATTTGGCTGGGAGGCGAGTGAAGCATTTTCCCAACACTTAGTCATGATTAGAAATGAATATTATGGTCTATATACACCCTTATTAAAGATACCACTCTGGAAGTCTAATAGGATTTATTTCAAGTCAGTGTGTTAAGAATTAGAATGTCATATTTCATAACTGTTAGTTGTATTAAGTTCCTGCAATATCTTCCTTCAAGCAATTTAATATCAAAGAGATGGCTCTTAAGCCATATGACAAAAGCACTCATTTTAAATCCCAGCACTTTTGAAGCAAATCATTAAAGAATGTATAACTCAGTGCAACTTATACATAAATTTATTGATTAAAAAAGTTTAGTATAGATTTTTCCACTATACCTTATGCCAATCATGCCTATTTCACAAACAAGCTTCTGCTGATTATCCTTAACAGTATTTTGAATTTGGAAGGAGGCGGAGGAGGAGGCAGGAAATCTGAGCCACCAAGTGAACAGCAATAATAATTAGTGTGAGCTGTTTTAATTTAGAAAACTACATTTGAGAGCAACCACATCTGATTAAATAACATGATAAACAAAAACGTAAGAGATTGTGGGAATTGATGGTGTGGGTTTTCTCCAATTAGTACATGAAAATGGGAGTAGGTTAAGAGAAGAATAAATTTCAAAAGAAAGTTGATTCAAGCTTCTAGCTGCTCCATGGTTTCCACAATATTAACAGAAATGATATAGCAGGAGTTAAAAATCTACATGTATTGTCTGTTTTCCTATATAGTTGTGTCAAACATTCTGAAAAATCTTAATAATAGGTTTTGTACCAAATATTGCATCATTATTGTTGCTATCTTAACTCTGCTCCAAGATGCACACCATCTTTTAATGGTACTTCCCAGCTACAGTTGGATAATAAACCACTACAATTATTGGCAACTGAGCCTGGTGGTCCAGTGGTTTTCATAATGGGTTTGAATTAAGGTCAAACCAAATGTTATGTTAGAAATAGATGCTGTGTATGTGAATTAAAGGAGAGGTATTAATGTTAGTTGTGGAAACAAAATATGGAAAAAGTTCTCTCTCTCTGAATATAATAGCCATATTCCCTCTACTGTAAATTTATTAATACATTTCCCCAAACATCTGACATCATTCAAGAATGAAGAAAACTTAACCTTCTTTTCTTCCAGTAAGGAAGTAAACATGCAGTTGCTGTGATTTTCATTTAGAATCACAGTAATTTGTTAATGGCTCATTAAGTAGTCCTGCAGATAGGCCTTATGATGCAGAAATACACATTTAACATAATTTTTATGATCTCATTATTATACTAAAGATTTTTTACCTTATCTGTAGTCATCACATATAAGTTCTCATGGAGACTATCAAGAAGAAGATCCTTTTTTATAGGCTTATTTTTTTCAATAAGAATGCTAGCATATTCCTTTGCAGGATTTGACAAAGCTACCTGAAATGCAGATTAGGTATGTTATTTTATCTGTTTTCAGTGAAATTAGAATGGTGGTTATTCACTTAAAATGTATTTATATATATACCTTTTATTAGTTAAAATAACCTCATTAAATAATTTTAAGCAATAAGAAAATATGTTTTTATTTAAATGGTATTGGTAACTTAAAATATTTTTATTCCCAGGAGAAATTGAAAGTTTGATTTGCCATTTTTGTGATGTATTATGAAGCAAGTATGGTCCAAGTTTTTTTTTTTTTTTTTTTTTTTATGGTCCAAGTTTTAAAATGGCAAGTCAATATATTATCAAACAACTTCTGAATATAATTTATGATCCATTTGACTTATAGCAGATATCTATTAAAGTGTTAGAACCAAACAACTTTATCAACATGAGAGTTTATGGCATATAATTCTAGAACCATGATTTAGACTTATGTGTATAATCTTAAATGAACTTGACTGAAATGTTAAGCCATCATGATCTTTCTCCTTTTAAGGAAAGAAAAATTAATGTATCTGCATTTAAAATTTGATTGTTGAATAAGAAATATCATAGATTTAAGGAAACCCCATGATTTATTAAACAAACCTACTGCTGAAATCTTGATCTGCAACTAAAATTAAATCTCTTCTCTGATTCTTATATAAAGACACATCAAGATACATTGAAAATAGAATTAAACTTTATTTAAGTCTCTCATTCAACTATAGGGATAGAAGGGAAAGGAGGCTAACTGAGGTCCCAAGCATTTATTCAAACACATGCATATAATCGGACATTAATATTTGGTTAAAAACTTATTTGATAACTGGATATGGACTTTGGACTGATGCGCCTTTCCTCTTCTCCCATCCTGTATTTCTTAATCATTACAATACAAACTTGTAAGCAACTGTGATAAACTGATTTTTTGCTTGCCAGGCTGAAATGGAAATCAACTTATAAATGTAAAAATGTGTCTGTGTCACTCCAGAAAACAGTTCATTAAAATATACTGTCTGTTGATATTTTCTGCTGTTTTTGACCATCACTGAACACTATGATCAAATGCTTTCCCAATAACAGCTGTTGTAGTCTTTAAGATGCCAAAAGGCTGTTTTTGTTGCAGGAAGCACAGCTACTAAAATGGAAATAATATTTAAGCATATTTCTAATCCTGGCTAATAGGCCAAATGTAATGAACTTAAATTAGTTTGCTCATATTGGCTATGCCACTGAACAGATGTCAAGAATCTAAGGGGAGAAGAGAAAATGAAAACCTGTGATTTAGATCTCATTCACTACTGCATTAGGCCCTGATTTAACCAGAGTCTATTGAATAAAGCCATGACTAGTTTGGTATATGCACTTCATTAATCCATAAATGAAATGACAACATTGAATTTCTGGCTAGAACGCAGCTTCCTGTGACCCTTTTCATCATCATCATTTTAGGCATTGTCTATCCTCTTTCGCCTGTTTCCAATTAATATGGTCCTGAGCTTTCTTTTGCCAAATGGGCCCACAATACTTGCTGATGTCATCAGTCCATCTTGTTTTAGGTCTCTTTCATGGATGCTTTTTATCAAGTGGGATCATTCTATGACTGTCTTGGTTCACCTGCCATCACTTCACCTGCCATCATTTCTTGCTATGTGATCCTTTTATGTCTTCCAATTTTTTTTGGAAAAAAGTTATAATCCCCCCCCCTTTTTTTAATTTCAGGGATCTTTTAAGGCTCAATGTCTAATTTAAGTTTTTTAGAAGCTTACTATACCTGTCCCAACTCTAAAAACCTTCCCAAATTTTCCTGCCAAAAGTCAAGAGATATATTTTAGAAGATTTTTTTAAAAAATCTTCAAAACACAATCAAATATATTTAGCTAATAAACTAATAGATCATCATCTTTTTGGGAAGGTTATCTTTGAAGGCTGAATTTGTACTGATTTTAGACTGAAAACTAGATTTCAATTACAGGTAATCTTCACTTAATGACCATTTATTTAGTGACTGTTCGATATTATGATAGCATTAAACAAATGGCTAGTTATGGCTGATTCTTGAAGTTACAGTGTTCCATAGTCACATGATCAAAATTTGGTTATCTAGCAGCCCACTTGTATTTATGACTGCAGCATGCATTTCAACTCCCCCACCTAGCTATTTTCTCCCTTCCCTTCCTTTTAGCCACTCTGCACACTGCTGCTGCTGTCTTCTCTGTCCCAAAGATCAGCTAGGGATGGTGAGTGGTGGCAGGCATAAGAGAAATCAGCAGATGCAAGGCAGCCAAAAGGGCAGAGATGGTGGGGAGTTGGCCAGGAAGTTGAAGTGAAGATATCAGCAGCGTGAGAGGAGGAGCATAAGATCCTCGCCTAACTACTGCTGCTAGGCAACACGATCACATCGTATGTTAGCTAACAACCACTTGGTGACAGAAATTCTGGTACCAATTAGGGATTGTTATGCACAGATTACCTATATTCTTGAATTATGAATTTATGAATTTTAAGCACAGTCATGATTGAGGGAGGAGCTCATTTTTGAGTTATATATCACTAGCATAATCTTTTAAACACTTTACAGATGGTTCTTGACTTACAACCACGAGTGAGCCCAAAATTTTTGTTGCTAAGCAAGACTGTTAAGTGAGCTTTGCCCCATTTTACGACCTTTCTTGCCACTGTTAAGTGAATCACAGCCGTTGTTAAGTTAGTAACATGGTTGTAAAGTGAATCTAGCTTCCCCATTGATTTTGCTTATCAGAGGATCACAAAAGTTGATCACATGACTCCAGGACACAGCAACCATCATAAATATGAACCAGTTGCCAAGCACATGAATTTTGATCATGTGATCATGGGGATGCTGCAACGGTCGTTAAGGGTGAAAAATGGTCATTTTTATCAGAAGTTATCCTTCAAATGTTTTTAGTTTCATTTATTTTACTTAAAAATCAAACAATCTATAGCTGATTTCTGATGGCCGTAATTTTAGTATTCTATCTCACCTAATTTTTAGCATTAAGATTCATAAGAAATTACCTTCAGAATTCTGCCATCTGATGTTCCAACAAATACTACAGTCTTCCCATTCTCCACAGCAAAGGCCACTGCTGTTAAATTTATGCCTTCCTTTTTGAACACAGGTTCTGCAGAAATTCCTTCTTTGCTTCCCAAAGGATACGGTAAATGTTCAGAGCCACATGGAAATGTTACACTTGAATTCTAAGAAAGGATACATGAATTAGGAAATCATAAATTCAAACAAATATTAACCCTGAAACTAGGATTGATCTGAAAATTTAATTGTTTAAGAAAAATAGAAAAGTTGCGCATTATGACATCTAAGTAAGTTGTGAATGGATCAATGGATTACAAAACTGCATATGTTCAACAATGTTAGTATGTCATCTAAAAAAAATTGTTCCGCACGTGCAGGATCTGTAATGTTTCCTCAGATGCTCTAAAGTTGCTGATACACTGCCATTAATATAATCAATCTTTTTTCTCCTATTAAAAAAAACTATTTACAGAAGCAACTACTGTTCCTTGATACAGAAACCATGAAGGCATAATCCAGCCAACAGGAAGCACTTTTAAACTGGAATTATTTTAATGAAAGATATTCATAGACTTGCTTAGATTTGACTGAATTGTGCCTGTTTGAAACCCTTAAATCAGTGTTTCCCAAACTTGACAATTTTAAGGCATGTGGACTTCAACTCCCAGAATTCCACATTCTGGGAGTTGAAGTCCTCATGCCTTAAAATTGTCAAGTTTGGGAAACACTGCCTTAAATGGCCAGCATAAAAACATAAATGAAATGCTGTTTGAAATAGTGATCCAATACTGCCTGAGAGAAAAGAAGATGTTATAAATATTATGTAGAAATATCTCTGAATGATAAAAACCAAAATAATACATTTGGGCTTATTAATGATGTTTGAGTCTTAGAGTTTTATGTTATGAAGGGGAAACATTAGATAAACGTTCATTTCCACAGCAACTTCATTATTTCAACTCACCTGGTGCGATGAACTTTTGCATGGAGCATTTTCTGTTCGGAATGGTTTGTAAAATACATTGCGTGCATCCTTTGTATAACATTTCTCCCTGTTTTCTTCCATTTTTTTGTTGATATCGCTCAAGTTATAAACACACATGGCAGACACCAAAGAGTCTTTTTCCATTCTCCTGAAAAGGCCAATGAGCAGTTTGTCCTGTGGTGAGGTCTCAAAAGCTTGCTCTGATGATGCTAGATTATGTGTTGGGTGTTCCCCATGGACAGAAGCATAGATTGCATTGCTTTGATTAAAAGGACCGGTGTCATCTTTACATTCCAAGTCCATTTCAAAATAGGAATGATAATGTTCATCTTCTTTGCAGAGCCGTCCAATAAGTGTCCTGTTTATAGTGGCCTGCCTCTCATTTTGATTGAAAATAAAATAAACAAATTTATTGTCTTCAAAGATGTAGAGGAACTGCTGTGAGCTTGAGTAAGGATATGCTGATTTAATAGCAGCAGGATCAGCATACAATTCAAAAATCTCTCTCCCATCTCCATTGAAAAGCTGTCGAGTGCTGATTATGACCCCGTTGTCATTTGCCCCATTGCCCTTCCCCACAAACATCATTCGGCCTTTTTTCAAAGAGGTGATCAGCCCAACTGTAGCTACATTCTCATCATTGCTTGCAACAAACGATTTCTCTCCGCTGCCAGTCTCATAGTAAGTCCTGTTGGATATATTTTCAAGCTCTCTTATGGAGCATATGCCCCTAAATAGACTCCCACAGACTACTATTCTTTTCTCCTGAGTGTCCACCAGCAGTAATTTGTTGTAATTGTCTGTCATTTGTTTGTCAGAGCACTGGCTTTCTTCAATGGGAGGTGTGCATTTTTTGTTATCCAAATGTGGCCCGGTGATTACTTCATCTATTGAGGGTTTCAAGTCTTTTGTGAGTTGATGCAGGGCATTTACTGCTCCTAAGTAGACTGTCCCCGTATTATGGTTCACTGTTAGGTGACTAAGTTCCGTCTTACTCTGGTACACATCCCATTTCTTTGACCTTAATGCACGAGAAAAGCAAGAGTAGCTCAGAATGCTCAATATCCATATCCATATAGCCATTTCTCTGTGGTACCTGATGAGTAAAAATTAAAAAAAGTTTATATTATGAATTTCTAAAATAAAACAAAACAAAACTTGAAAAAAGAACAATTTATAAATCTGAAAAATACCAAAAATACCAAAAATCTAAATTGTAAGGCAACCTTTCCAGCTCTGCGGATTGGCGGAGGGAGCAGCCATGGGGGGAGGGAAGAGGACATGGTTTTGCACCTGGATGCAGAGTGGAAGCTGGCATACTCATCAAAACCTTAATTAAGTCTACGAGTGGCTATTTCATAACATGGTCACTAGATTTGCCACTTTTAAACCATCTAGTCTTTTGCATGTAGTTTATCTTAACCAGCAGGGCAGAGATCAAATCACTGTTGTACTGTATGAAAGCAGTATATAATCAAATAAATCTGAGACACGAGCAAGATATTGTTTTCTCACCCCAGAGATTTTTAAAATTACTTTCCAGTAACAGGCAGCCCATTTTGATTAATTGATAACTTTATAAAATCCTTGTCTAATACAAACCTGGTAGAGATTTACAACTTTAAAAACAATGAAAACATATCCGGGATAGAAAACTGAATAAAATAACTCAGAAAAAAGACTGGGAGATAGAAAATGATACAGTCTATTTATACAGTTATAGTTCATAATGTCAAACTCATAGTCTAAAGCAGGGGTTTCAAACTGCTGGCCCGCGGGCCAGATGCATCATAGCGAAACCACCCCATTGCCGACAATGGCAAAAAAGCCGTGATAGGTCATGACACATCACGTGAAATTTCGAGTTTGACACCCCTGGTCTAAAGTCATACTAATACAGAATACAATATGCTTTTGTTAATGGGAAAAAAGCCCTCTGAGGAAATCTCACAAAATTACTTTTAAATGAAATCTGAAATTTGCAAACAAAAATATTTTTTGCCCACATCTGTTCACATGTTTATAATACATACTTTGAAAACAAAACAAAATCTTAGACTGATGTAACGTGAAAGACTCTGAATATTAAAAAGGTAGGGTTGTCACAGAAAATATCTTCCAGGTTCCCGTCTTTTGTAATATACAGCAAAGTTAAGTCTGTGACATAATTCATCCTTGTTGGTATTTTCCCATTACTGACAAAAGGAAAAAAAAAAAACACAGAAGGGAAACTTAGCAGAATGTTACAGTGAAGAAAACATGGACACAGAACTTCCATCAATGGCAATCATTCTTTGTTTTTAGCAAGTGGAAGTTCTGCCATTTGCATTCTGCATTTCATCATTGCTAATTTGCTTCCTGGTTCCATAAAAGAAAAACAAGCAACTCCTTGCATCTCTCATAGGAGGCCCAACTGATTATCTGCAAAACCACTGAAAGAAAAGGAAGTGGGAAACACTGCCCATTAAGAGAAAATAAAACGATGAATTCTGGAATAATTGGCATTCAGTTAATCTGGTGACTAATCATGGAAGCCACTGGAGAAAACCATATCTTCTCACATTTTAATTAAAACAGAACTTTTTTTTCCCCTAGACTATTAAAGTGCATCCATTAACACTATTCCTTTTTAAAGGTGGTTTGAGAAATTCTGTCATAAAAGGTTAATGCTTTCATAGCTATTTAATTAATTCCTAAAAGAAATAAAACGAAGGTGGCATGCAGTTTTTCATTTTTCAGCCCTTTCTTCTATGCTAAGAGTTAGGGCAAAACTAGATAGAAGATACATATTTAAGCATGAATCTTCCTTGATCATCCAAGTCAATTAAAGAAAGGCACCACTCAGTGAGAAGAACTGCGATTTTTTTTTGCCTGTTCTGTATTATATATTCCTCCCACAATTTCTGTCCCCAAATGATTTACTAATATGAGTGTCCCATGTGAAAAAGTAATACAGAAAAAATGACCATAGGACAAAGGCACATGCAAATATGCACTGTACAACCTTGATTTTCTTTTGCTTCAATTTCTGAGATTTACATGTGCATAGTTATGTTATTTGTTTCTAGTTTGGCATTTAAATTGTAGACATAGAAAAGAATAATATTGTTGAAATCAAAGGACCCCTTTAACTAGAAAATGAATTTATGCAATCCAGTACTTCTCTATAGCCCAGTTTATTTTGATTTCTATTGTTTCTGCTCAACCCATCATCTTCTGAGTTATTTAAATGTACATGCTATATATAAATTTCGCATATTCTAATAGTGAATCATGAATGTAAAACATGCATTGAAAATAGTATGCCTGGAAGTCAGACAATATCTGTGTTTTTGCATTCATGTTCGGGTTTCCAGGAAATTTATTAAGTGAGCTCCTGGTTGTCTACTAAACTTGACAAAATAACTGGTTTGGGGCTTTAGAGTCATACTCTTTGTTTATAGACATTAATTTTTAATTGATAATGAGTTTAATTAAATGAAACATCTTAAAGCCATATTTTTTATTTGAGAAGGTAGTAGTGAAATATTGCACATTTCAGCCTTGTTATAAGCTTTGGTTAAAATGAATTTAATTTTTTTTTTCATATTATCAACCCTGGTCTTCTTGTAGATCTCTGGACAGCCATTTGTCTGAAATGGTATAGGGTTTCCTGCCTGAGCAGGGGGTTGGACTAGATGATCTCCAAGGTCCCCTCCAACTTTACTACTACTACTACTACTACTACTACTACTACTACTACTACTACTACTACTACTACTACTATTATTATTACCTTTCACTGGTTATTCTATGTTTTGGAAGCCTGCTTATATTGTTCCAATGTCTTCTTAGGTCAGTAATTACTTGAAGCCCAGCTATTTTTAACTGAGCTCTAATTAGCAATCAATAAACTTGATTAGTGTACACACTAGCAACAGCCTACAGTAAAGAACATGAAGAAGCAACCAAAACTCCATCTGCTATTAGAGAAAACTAATTTAATAGACATGCAAGACTGGCACATGGCACATAGCCAGCTGTGCCATAATAAAAACAGAAGAAAGGAAATGTTGAGGATTGGTTATAGTAGGAAGAGGAAGAATCATTGACTCAGTAAGAAACCATAGCAAATGGAAAGTTGTTTAAGTTTATTAAATGTGTATAGTCACTGACTATTATATCTATTAACATTACAAAAAGTAACAGCTTTAAAAAATAAAAATACACCTTAATTCAATACTGGCTGCATATGATTTAGTAAATTTTAGTTGATTTTTTTCTGGAAATAGAGTTATACTCTGTTATGATTTTATTAAAATCAGATAAAAGAAAGCATCTTTTTACTGCATCTGAACTTAGCTGAGAATTGTCTACCTTTTTCAATTTATTTCTCTGAGATTTGATAAGTATTATGAGTAATATAAAAGATAATATAGTAAATCTTCAATCTAAGAATAACCACAAAGGCAGACGCTTTGTTTAGAAATTTGCTGATATTTACCCTCAATTATAACCTTGGTCATAGCCTGTAATCTTAAAGTTGTAAATGTTTGGTTAGCTTTACAACTGGTTATACTGACGTGTGTCTTTTCAAGCTGCATGTTGTGAAATAATGTGCAGAGTTCTGGAAAACATAGGGAAATCTCTCAAGTAAGAGTGATATCTACTAAGTTCAGAGATTTATTGGATCTACACTGAATCAAGGATTTAAACTTTGCTGATAATAAATATTGCTTGGAATATACAAATACACTTTTCATTACATGTGGGAAGATTTATTTTTTAATTTATTTAATTTACTAGACCAGGGATAGGCAACCTTGGCTCTTTTATGACTTGTGGACTTCAGTACCCGGAATTCCTGAACCAGCCATGCTGACTCAGGAATTCTAGGAGTTGAAGTCCACAAGTCATAAAAGAGCCAAGGTTGCCTACCCCTGTGCTAGACTCTCTAACAAGAGAGTCAGTTTGGTGTGGTGGTTAAGGAATCAGGCTAGAAACTGGGAGAACATGAATTTTAGTCCCGCCTTAGACACAAAGTCAGTTGGATGATGTTGGTTCAGTCAGTTTCTCTCAGCCCTAGGAAGGAGGCAATTACAAACCACAATTGATATCTTGCCAACAAAACTGAAGAGATGTTTCCAGACAGTTTCCAAGAATAATGCACACACACATATACAGTTCATAAACCATCTAAATCAGAGGTCCCCAACCTTTTGGGCACCAGGGACTGATGCCGTGGAGAAAGGTTTTTCAATGCACCAGAGAGGGTGTGGTTTTGCGTACTGCCTCCATCCTGCAGATGGGGCTTCGCTTGTCTGTGTGGCCCAGTTGCTGGCATGCTGCGGACCGGTGCCAGTTCATGGACCAGGGGTTATGGACCACTGATCTAGGTGAGGGAATAGTAGGGAAACTCATAAAATTTGTAGATGACTTTTAGCTGGCAGGAACACTTAACACTCCCGAAGACAAGCTCAAAATCCAAAAAGATCTTGACAGACCTAAGCTCAGGGCCCTATCTAATAAAATGAAATTCAACGTAGATAAAAGTAAGGTTTTTACACTTAGGCAAGAAAAAACAACTGTATAATGCCAATAACTGTGAGAGGAATCTTGGAGTCTTAGCACATAATCATTTAAATATGAGCTAACAATGTGCGGTGGCAGCCAAAAAAGCCAATGCAATCCTAGCATGTATTAGTAGAGGGATAAAATCAATATCATGTGAAGGTCTAGTACTGCTTTATAAAGCCTTATTAAGACACACTTGGAATACTGTATCCTGCTCTGGTCACAACAATATAAAAAATATGTAGAGATGCTGGAAAAAGTGCAGAAAAGAGCGACAAAAATGATTAGGGGGCTGGAAGTTAAAACATACAAGGAACGGTTACAGGAATTGAGTATGTCTAGTCTAGTGGTGGCGAATCTATGGCCCGCATGCCAGAGGTGGCACTCAGAGCTCTCTCTGTGGGCACGCACGCCATTGCCTCACCAGAGTTTGCCATAGTAGCGAGCACATGGCGTTTGGAAGCGACAGGGCAGGAAGTGAGCGAGCAAGTAACATTGGCCCCCTGGAGATGCCCCAGAGATGGAAAGGACTGGCCCCTGCTG